TCATGTGGTCTCAATCTCCCAAACCAGAAGATACAACCATTGAGGATGGATACCTCTATGGATTTCAATTCCCCCGTGACTTTGCCGGAAATTCTTCTGCTATTTCCTACTTCCAAATTGGAAGTTTCATTCGTGATTTCCAGTCCATCACTCCTCCTGTCATGACCAACAATGGAATGTCCGCGTACTGGGGTGTTTCTCGCTCCGGATTCCGTGGCTGGACACCAAARCGATTCAGCAGAGCCAGAGATGTTTCTGTTGGTTTCACTAGAAACGAAGATTTCCCAGGACAACCCGTTTGGGCACCTCCTACCTTGAGTGATGACGGGCTAGAGCCCTTCCTCTTCGGAGGTAGTGCTGCAAGGGAGTTCGTCAAAATGAGCTGGGATTTCAGAGAAAGAATTGTCGTCCCTACCGGAGGGTACGTCAAGACGAAGGCAATCATTGATGGTGATTCACGTGTTGTGTACTACATGGAAAGTGACAATGGTATTTTGCACTCAGCAGACTTCGATGACGTCGATGACATTTGGACAGTTCCCTTTAACTTTACCGTTGATGGAGAGATGGCTCTCACTCCCCGCTCGGATGTCTTGATCGCTGCTGACTCGAAGGGTGCCATTACTGCCTTGCAGGTCGCCGATATTCCTGTTACGGACGCTCCGAGTCAATTGCCTTCGGATGGCCCCTCGTTGGCACCTACGATGCGACCTACCATTTCTGCGGCGCCTTCTGTATACGTCGCAGTGCCCACCGAAGTCCCTACCGCTGCTCCTCTCGCACCAGACACAGAGGCTCCTGTCACTGTCCAACTMCCTTCGGCCACGGCGGCTCCTGTCGCTACTCCTGTCGTTGCTCCCACGAGTTCAAGTGCCACGCTATCTTGTTTTATTGCCTCGGCCGCAGTCATTGTAGCAGCCATGTTGGTGTAAATCTCCGTATTGTGGGGGATGAATAGGGCAGCCAGCAATGACATACGGATCGATGAAAATGAGCATGATGCAATCAAGCCGAATCAATCGTGGATCCGGTCTTCTTTTGGTCATTTGTGGGTCGAACCTCAACCCGCGCGGTGTTGCTTTGTTGTTTAGATATTATCGCCACAAGTCTACGTGAGTGAACAAAATATCTCTGCCAAATATCGACCTAGGTAGTAACGAKGATGTACAACGTACATAATTGTTCTATTAAAGTATGTGTTTCGAACCAATAATACGGTAGAAAGTTCCTTTTCTTTTAAGAGTATTCTGCGTACGTCACCTCGCTTGCTTGAGGTAAGCAAAGGTTTCGAAAAAAATTCAATRAATGAACAACGAACGAATCCCTTCAACACTTAGCGACAGAAGCAATCTCTTTGACGTTTATGAGGTACAACGTTTGATATTRTCTCGTGAACGAAATTTTTAGAGACCAGTAGGCTGCCGTCTACTTTGGCCTTTGAAATGTGCGTTAGAATCGTATMAGAAGAATTATATGGAGTTTTAGTGATAGACTAAACCATGGGATTTATCAGCCTTGCATCCTTCACTCGTTATTATTGGTCACATGTTCGTTGCCAATTGATCTCCCATTCAACGGAATCCTGCAAATGCAAAATGTGGACGCCATGACAATGTCGATAATCCAAAGAGGTTCCAAATCAGGAAGATCTGTCATCACGAAGTCTGTTTATGTTTGTCCCCGGTTAAATCCTGTCGCAATTATGTTTCAAGACTAACRGTTCAGACTATCAAAAAGCAACTCCTCATTCCCTGTTTCTAAGCATCCAAGTCTTGAACCATCAAGACAGCTTGGGGACACAAGTCGCATTCTTTCAAAATCTTGAGATCATCGTCACTCTCCCCTCCCTCCGCACCGTACGTTCTTTTGGGAAAATTAGTGGACAAAGCAACACGCTTCACTACGGCACCATTCTTGTCGCTTTCCGACGCAAAATGCAGTATCAAAAAGGCTTTGAGAGACCCAATTGTCTCGTCGCCTTCGAAGCGACGATCCAGTTGCTTTCCGTTGGGTAGTCGGAAGCGGATTCTCGCACAGCCCGGTGTTCCTTTGGGCGGCTCGTCGCGAACCAACGCCCGTGCGCGATCGAGACGATTTGTTTCTTCCGCAATTTTCTGTTCCTCTTCTTGCCTTTTTCTCTCTTCTTCTCGTTCCGCCTCCAGGCGTGCCTCGTTCCGTTGTCGTTCGCGCTCTTGATCCTGACGCAGAGTTTCTTGGTATTCTTCGTCTTGTTGTCGCCKTAATTCCGCTTCCTGTTCTCTTTGATATCGCCTGGTTGCTTCCTCGAGGACCTTTCGCTCGTGTTTTTGAAATGTTGTAGTTACCAAACTCATCAGTTGTAATGCCGTCAATCTGATCAAGGTCGGACCTTCAGCCTTGAAGACCAACTTGACTGGTCCCGGATTTATGCTCCCTGCATTGTTACTTCTGTTGCTGCTCTTATCAGCTTGCAACAAAGCCAGGACAGGAAAGCTCGAGGCCGACAAAGAATAAGATAGCATGGAACCCTGCGAAGTAGCAGTTGACGACCCGATGACCTTGACGCGACTTTCGTTTTCYGTCAAGAATCTCACCATGGAAGGAGAACACAAGAGTCGTCGACAAACATCATCGGTCGAACGATGATAGGGAGAATACAGATAAACCATGATCAGGGCGTCGGACGAAGCGGCCTCTCGTTGTACCTCTGCGTATGACTTGGTCGAGAATAATTTTACAATGTCATTCCCGGCGTTGTCATTCAATAGCAATGTTTTCTTGAGATACGAAACAAACTGTTTCGAGGCACCTTCCATCGAATTCTCAGAAAATCCCTCGTATTCTCCCAGAGGCAAYAAAACATCGCTAATCCGTCGGAGCGGCCACAAAGCCAACCTAAAAAAGAATCCCAGCCAACCAAACATTGGGCGATATATAAATCGTTGGAAAAATGAAGGGCTTCCGACCACACCATTACTTGAGCTGCCGTTGGCGTTAGCACCGACCTGATTTTTCATCCGAGAGTGACAAAAAACGCATCCATGTATGCACAATGAAGTCGAGAAAGCGGAAGAGAAATCAGAGCAATCAGAAASTGGTAGGCAAGAAATGAACTTGTTTTGTTGAAGAAGATCACGTCGAAGCGATGGGCGATACGAAACAACCTTCATAATACAAGACCAAGCAAAGCCTTTATCCTGATTCTATGCAACAAACGATGACCTTGCGTACCTGGTGTCCGCCGTTGGTCCCCAAAGGCGCCATCGTGTTTCGTGCGAGATAAACCAGCAGAAAACTGTGTTAAAGTTGGATCGCTCTGGAGATACTTGAGATGTTGAGGTTGATTCCGTCGTTGTTGAGCACAGATAAATTCCTCAATCCTTCAATCCTTCACCTCGCAGTTACGTAAGTTGCAGCCAAAATTAAAAATTAAGCGAAGTACGGTTGTAACAAACCTTGTATTTCCATTTTCCGTTGCTTGAAAGTCAAAGGCAATTTCCCGCTTGTCAATTTTTTTCATTTCCCGTCTTTGTTTCCTCTCCCCCCCCCCCTCCAAACAAAAAAACTAGTCCCAAAATATTTCTATTAGTGGTCCTTAGTACTACCTGGGATATAACATCAATGGCTACTACTTGAAAATTTCAATTAGTGCTTGCTACTGGATAACCTCTATTACTACTTACTAATGCTGGGGATGCTATAGTAGTGAGGAGGACGAGAACTGGTGCTGGTGCTGGTGCTGGTGCTGGTGCTGGTGCTGGTGCTGGTGCTGGTGCTGGTGCTGGTGCTGGTGCTGGTGGGTGCTAGTAGTACTACTAGTAGCTAGTAGTAGCTAGTAGTACTAGCAGTAACAAGCAAGAAGTAAGGCCCCCATCATTCTGTTCTTCTTGGTGCTTCTGGTGCTGCAAGAATTTCTACTGTGCAACAAGACCAGCACTACTTCAGCTTTGGTAGTGCCAGTACCCCCCCCCTTCTACTAGTACTAGTTGCTCAACAGAGTGCAAAATGCACATACTATATTTGGTGAGCAGCATAATCATTTTGCATGTCCCTTCCTCTTGTTACTAGTACTACTACTAGTACTAGTAGTAGTGATGCAAAGAGGTGTATTTCATGCTTGAAAAATCAGGAAGCAATATCAAGAACAACAAGCAAATAACAAGAAGCAAACAAGCAAGAACGCACCAAGAAGTAAATGGCAAGAACACCAAGATGTGCAACAATGTGTCATCTGCAGGCCTGGAAATACTGGGGGGGAACATGACACCTCCATGAGAAATGAACCAGCCAGGGCAATGGAGGAGGCTGCCAAAGATCCTATTGCTGGAATCAAAGGAATACCATGTAGATGGGAGAGTCAATGAAGGAGGCCCCAAAGGAGATCATAGATTCCCCAGTCATACTCCATTCACGTCAGCAGAGTAGTAGCTGAGCCATTGACTATCACCTTTGGGTTCAACTTCATGATAGGCACTTAGTTGCTGATAGATTGGTGGATGATGATGTGAATTATATTAAGAGATTAGAGACGATTATTGCTAAATTGCATGGAACGACTAGTCTTGCCAAGCACCGTCAACCATATTCTCTTGTGTCAATCTCTTGTTGTACTTGAAGCGATATCGTTAATAAAAGAGTGGGCAGTTCCTCAATCTGTTACTGAGAGAAAAAAATACTTCCAGCGTTCGATATCAAAGAGTTGGTGTACCAGTAGCAAAGTGGGTAATATAGAAAGACWATATGTTCACGTTGCGATAGTAGTACGTTCTTCGGTAAAATACGGGCAATTAGATTACCATAGAGTAAACAGACTCTAGAGTGCTGAAGTTACGAGAAGTAGCCAGCTTAAAATGGATTTGCGCACCTGCACAAATTGAGATTACTGGTTGAAGCAAGTGATATGGAAACACGTGTATGTTCCATTCTTTGTTGAACTTCTCATCCGACCAATCGAGGGTTTCCTCGGAATTGGCTTAGGGATTCTTGCTGGGTGGCAAGGGCTCCAGTCCAAGGAAGTTCAGTACTTGTCGCAAAGACTTCTCTGATGAGACCACATCCAATCTGGTTTTTTCAAGGTATTCGTCAACAGCATCTTTTCCCCCGTTGGGATTTGCTTCTCCCCATGAACTGGTATACGCCATCATGGCCGTGTTGTCGGCCTTCTCCTTGTAGTTTTCGACGACTTCTAAATAGTCGGCCTCGTCAAATTCCGGCTTGATCAGTGGTGCTGCCCGCACCATCAATTTGTCCGCTTTGTACAATGGATCTTCAGTTGACTTGTACCCCATGTATATCTGAACATTCAGAGGCGTCTTCTCGCATTTATCTCCACCGTCGGTGCGAACAACCTGCTTCATGGCTTGATCCGAATTATTTCTGCAGACCTKGGTAACTTCGTCCCAGTTCTTGAGCAGGTATTGGACACGCGCATGACCCTTGCGGAGTCGCTCCAACTCGGAAGGCGATGGTGGAGCGGCAGCGTTGGCCGCGGGCGGCAAACCAACCAGAAAGCCCGATGCTGTCGTCGCCGTCATAGCTGCAAATGCAACGGAGGCAGTGCTCTGAAACAMTTCGCGACGACTCAGCCGTTGATCTTTGGATGATACCGAACTCGTATCGTCAAACTTCTGGAGCAGCCGATCATGGCTTCGAGCKGGAAATTGCGACCTTGCAGACTCCTGAGGGCACAATGAGAGAACGGGGTATGTGGATAATTCAATCACTGAAATCACCAACACGGTGACGAGAAAGTTTACAAGTCGTCGATGTTTGGCCATTTTATTGTCGCGTTAGAATATGATACGTTCGAGAATTCAATACATTATTTTTGTTGTTAGAAGTAATTGAAATACAGGCAGCTGGCAACTGATGTCAGGTTTGAAGCATTTTATCTTCGTGACATGGTCGAATGATCTGGTTCCCATCTCTTTTTTCGTTTTGGGCAATCAGTTTCTATTGCTTCTGGCTCGATATGACGTAATGACGTCACAATATTCTGGGACCTCCGTTAGAATTTTTGAATAAAATAGTTTCCCGTACACCCTACAAAACAAGCAGAAACAAAGAGAATTTTTATCCTTGTTATGGGCAATATTCTCAWTATGTTAGAGAAACTAAGGGRATATTGCCTCTCCTTGGTTCTCTTTGTTTCCCATTCTTATTTAAACAAGGAGTAACACAGAGAATTTTGCCTGGGCAATGTTCCTTGCATTGTTTCTCTTTGTTTAGTAGTACTAGTAAGAAGAGTGACGAATCATGTGATCTCCTGGGCAGTCTTATCTTTGTTTTTCCAAGGTGAAATGATGGGGGCAGTTTGTTCCTTTCATACACAAAGAAACAAATAAAAACAAAGACAATATTGCCTCTCCTTGTTTTCTCTTTTAGTATTTGTCGATTATTTTACAAAGACAACAAGAAACAAAGATAAGAATATTGCCTGGACAATGCGACTCTCTTTGTTTCTCTTTGTTTAAACATTAAAAAAACCTATGGGAAACCCTGATCTTGGTTGGCAACTGTCTTCCTCAAAATTTAACAGAGGGCCCTGGTGGTATCATTGTGATTCTGAGTTCAGTAGTAGTACAGTACCATAGAGTACTAAGAATGTTCTTCATAAAGTAGTACTTCCTCCATTCATCTATCATGACTGTCCAATGTGACCTTTTTTGCTGTCCAAATATGATAGTCCCCATATTTAGTTACTAACACTCTTTAATATTTCCATTCAACCCCCAGTAAAATATGACTGTATAGAATACAGCATACAAGCAGTACTACAAACTAGTAGGTTTGTGCATGGATGTGATTTAAAATTAATTTTTGACACATGAAAATTGAGCCTATTGACAAGGCAAACACAATTTTGATGATGGTATGGTGCACCTTTCTTTAACAAGAATGACCTATAAAGGAACATTATGTTAAAATACTAGAAGAGTATCATGATGAAGCACTCAGTGTTAGCTTTTTTAGCTGCAAGAACTCCAGTGCTGAAATGACCAGTAGAACCTATATGGCAGTAAAATCATATTCATATGTCAAAAAAGTTCCCCTTAGAGTAACTATTGCAAGTATGTCACACACTTTTAGTAAATAAAATCATCATAACTGTATAAATTTAGAATAGATCTGTTAAACAAAAAAGAAGCATTCCAATCACTGAAATATTTAGCTTATTCCAAGCGTAGAAGTGCAAACTGGACATTCATTCATGGACGGAGGAGGAAGTACTTGCCAATGAATTGCTTTGTCTGAAATAGGTGTCTTCTATGACTATTTTGGACGTCTGACCAAAGATTGTCCCCTACTATGGTAGTAGTACACAATGACTCACTATGACTATTGCAACTATTTCTGTACAATTACTACTAGTACAAGAACAACAAGCACCAGAAACATATTTTCACCAGTAGTAGTAGTAGTAGTAGTAGTAGTAGTAGTAGTAGTAGTAGTAGTAGTAGTAGTAGTAGTAGTAGTAGTAGTAGTAGTAGTAGTAGTAGTAGTGTCTATTACCATCTATGTGTACACAGATTGCCACCAGAAAAGGTTCTAGTACTAAGAAGGCATGACAGCTTTTACTACTAGTAACAAACACTACAAAATCAACAGGGTTCTTTTTTGAGGATTCAAATCAGCAAACACTGCTACTAGTAATAACAACAAGGCGGTGATGCTGGTGGTAGAATTAAACTGAAATCAAAATCAATTCTACAAATTTCTCTACAATAAAACACTTACTGTTGGTGGCACTCACTAGTATGGCACTGACAAACTACTAGTACTAATACTGGGATTCCTACTACTAGCACTACTAAATCTCAGCAACTGCTGGACCACCATCCACCACCACTGTTGGATTAGTAGTACTAGTACTACTAGTAATAACCAATCCCTTCACTCCCTGCTGCTCCAGCACTTTAACTAGTAGTAGTAGTAGTAGTTTCAGCACATGGCCGTATGGAAAAAGGAGGCAATGCTCCTGCAACAGGTCAATCGTACGAATTACGTAGTAGAAAAGAGAAGACAAAATCCATTTCTGTTTCCCCCTCGATTGCGGATGAAGAGATTCGAATCCGAATTTATATCATGTGATACCGTTCCTCTTTCAGTCGATTCAATTAAAATCATTTTATTTCGCTCGATTCACCATGCCTTCAGGATCTTTGCGCAAGAGCACTGCCAGCAACACCAGCGAAAACGATGTTCGGTTCAATGCGCCCAGGCCTGCGGTGACGAATCGACTTGGAAAGAAACGAACCGAGGAGTTGATCCAGGCCGATGGAGACACCTGGCAGGAATATCTGGCCGTCTGCGAGAAATGGGTGCCCAAAAAGGGAAACCTCCGAGAAAGATCTGGGGGGAAGGCGCCGAGTGGTAGAGACAAAAGCGATTTCTTGGGTCCCATATTGAAAAAGGCATTCAAATCGTTTAAAAAGGAAAGCAGCAACAGCAACCCCAACCGCGACAATAACCACGTTTATATACGGAGCTATTTCCTAAACCAGAGGACCGGGACAAAAGTATGGGACGAACCACCCAGTGGTGCGTCGAGCATAATACCTGCCACGGAAGAGATGCGCCGCATGGCGGAGATGCAGCTCGGTGAGCTCTGCCTATCGAAAAAGGACGACGCTGCCGGTGGACGGCCGGAGAACAACAGCAGCAGCAGCGCTRGTTCCSGGAGTGGGATGAACATTCGGTACAAGCAAGGATCGTCCCTAGCGGGTYCTTCCGCGCGCAGCGGTGCCTCATACAACGACCGGCAGCTCCAGGAGGCAATCCAATTGTCTCTAGTGGAGAGCGGGCACAGGGACCGCCTGGTGGACCAAAGCCACGGGGAATCGGAAGACGAAATCCTGCGGCGGGCCCTGGAGGAATCCAGGCTGGAAGCGGCTCGGATGGAATCGCGGCGAAAATCGGAAGGGGAAGGTCCCACAACCAGGGGTCGAATACAGAGGAAATCGTCGACAACGGCGAAGCCATCCCCGTCGTCCCACTCCGGCCACCAGAAACAACCCGCACGGAACCAGCCGAAATCGCGTCCATGTGCCACCACAACGAGACAAAAATCAGAGGGCGGSAGCAGCAAAGGAACATTTGACCCGTATGGTGAGAGCCGTAAACCACCCCCCAACAACAAACAACGGGACCGCAGAGATCGGAAGCAACTTTCATCATCATCATCCGCATCGATGCCTTCTGTGGTTTAGMGCGCAGCAATGTGCCGAAGGACAAACGCAAAAGAACATACTACTAACGAACAATGCGTGGCCTTTCTGCCGGAGATGACACCAACAGCTAATGAAAAACAAATACGGAGTGGAATGGATAGTGTGTGTTGCGTTGCGTTGCGTTCGGTGTCTTTCGTTGCCAACGAATACCGTCTGCGTCATCGAAATACCATCGGCGTGCGATGTCTATGTGCCACAATAGCACAACATACTCACSATGGACTACAGCACGCAATATAATAGTTACAGTGCATAATATTACTAGTGTCTCTTTCGCTCTTCGAAATGCTCYGGGTTCGATTAGATTAGTTTTCGTTTCGAAAGGTTTGAAGATCGTTTTCACAACGGTTTCGAAAGAGTTTGGTTCTCATCATCCTCGACAATGCCGTTGTGCTCCAGGCTTTGCATACGCAAAAGTCCTGCACGATAATGGGCTTTGCGGTACTCAGTGACAGCAGCGCCAGCTGCTGTTTCGCTGCTGTACCTCGCACGATTCGATACGTAGATCGCGTTGGCGCAGTTCGGTGCCACCCCTCGGCCTGTTGGTGCCCAGGATACGATCCGTTTGCGGTACMGGACTGTCTGCAAGGCGATGCGCAATGCCGAGCATTGCGTAGCGGAGGTGGTGTATCGGTCTGGAAATTCTGTGTTTGGAGGCAAGATCCGATGCATGAAATGGGCWTGCTTCCGGTGCCCCCACGGCACAAGTCTGGTGGGTAACCGAGGCCAGGAAGTGGGACCAATCTTCCAACACGTTCCATCGCCACAGCCCAGGTATGCTAGTGTTTCATTRGYGCTACAGATCTCCTTGTCACGCCACATGCGAAGGAGGTGGCACCCACGGAATGGCGTCGTCCCCGTCCTCGCCGCCGTCCCCGGCACGGGGAGGTCGAAAAATCGCAGTGGTTTGCGGAACGACGTCTCCGTGCGTTACGTAATAAATCAAGGAATATCTCGTTCCTTCGTAATCCGATACCCAGTGGCAGAACCGCCCGTCGACCTTTGCCAATCTCCCCCGGGTGTCAATTTCCGCCACCTCCGTTGCCGAACACTCCACGCACAATTTTCCACCGCCGGTGAAGTCTCCTAGGGCCAAACCATAAAAGGGTGCGATGTTTAGGGTATCAATATGGGGACTACCCCTGAAATTCATTGTGACGGCCAGGGCAGTAAACTGCTGTGCGAAGATCTTGTCGACCGTTTCGATGGCTTCCAAGGCTTTGGTCCAAATGCCCATGAACCGTTTTAGTTTCTCGGCTTCTCGCTTGGCCTTGTTGCTTGCTTTTTGCGATAAAGGATCTATTTCTGCCCCGGCGGTGGTCCTATTTGTGGTTGAAGCCGATGGTAATGGTCTTTGTAGAATCACGTACCCTTCAGCGGAAATCTTGGGCCGCTCTCTTGTCGTTCGAGGCCAGCGTATMGCCTCCATCTCTTGTACGAGTTCTTTCACTAACGCTGGATCCAATGCCACTCCGGATTCGTGCCGAACAGACCTCATCCACAGGGGATGCACGTTCTTTTCACAACCGCTAATACTCCTGTAGCACGACAACAACCGTTGCATCAAGACTTCGCGATCGTATGAACTCTCATCATGGTCGTCGAATTTTACGTCGAACGTCCGGAAAAGGCGCTTACGCAACTGGGGTGTGCTCAGTGGTTCTAGTTGTGATCGYAGCTCGTTCRCATCCCGATCACAGGCCGATAGCTTTTTCGGAAGAGTGGTTGTGTCCAAGCCGGAGCTRTCGTCGTTCTTTGAAGACAAAATTACGTTCACAAGTTTCTGTTGGTCTTTGTGGTCGGCTCGTTGAAAGAGTTCCAGAAGTCGTTTTCGCGTCGATTGGCTGTTCATCTTTTTGTTCCATCTCAGATCCAAAACCTCTAGGAACGGCAGCGATGATATCGAATCAACAGGGAAGCCACTCCACCGGAGATTGTTCGACAGAGCAATTATCTCTTTCAAACACTTGCAGTTGCCAATTTCGGGCGGCAGTTCTTTGAGTTTATTCCGACCCACGTTTAGGAATTCCAGCGATCCTCCGAATATTTCTTTCGGCAAAGAGTTAAGATTGTTGCGGCTCAGATCCAACCGGACGATCGAACGCATCGATGGTGGAAACATTGGCAGTARCGATGTCTGTAGAGTCGAYAGCTGTGGATAAGACTGGAGAGTACTGCCAACTATACATCGTTCCAGATCGATCGTTTCCAATCCTCGATTGGAAAGAGAAAGTGATGTTTGATCCGCAGCGTTGGAAATATGCAGTGCAGTTTGCTGCATGCTAGCATTATTTTCCTTCTGATCATTGCAGGTCCCAGTGTATACTGGGTTCGGGCTGCCCGCGCCAGTGACAACATTGCTCATCCTCTCCCGTTCTGAAAGTATTCTGGNCTTCTGATCATTGCAGGTCCCAGTGTATACTGGGTTCGGGCTGCCCGCGCCAGTGACAACATTGCTCATCCTCTCCCGTTCTGAAAGTATTCTGGCGCAAAAAGAAATCGATTCGATATGTCTGGCGTTCGGTACTACCGTAGCTAGGGTTAAGGCGAATCAATCGGTCAAGTTGTTCCTCCTATTTCCTGGACGTGCTGTCTTTACGCGAAAGCCCGATCAGTCCATTACAGATGTGGGGTGCCAACTACTAGTTCGTAGAAGTCTTGTGATCGCTTGACTTTGAGATTGGGCTGCTAACGCGACTACATTGCGAACACGAAGTGAGAGAAAAGTGGAAAATGGAAAACCACCGACTAAGCGCAGTTGTTCCTAACAGCTCTTAGCCTGAGTTGTTGGAGCCTTGTCGTTGGCCTCTCCGTTCTATGGTACCTTTCATCTGTTCACTAGGTATATATATATTGACTTTGAGTTATGTTTGCCTAATTTGGATTTGACTAAATTGACTTAGAACTCTACAAGTAGTGCGGTAGCAGGGTCAGATAGCTTTGGGGCGCTGTATCTGTGCCTGTTCTGTACCTTGTTTGCCTTGTGCCTCCAAGCCCCGCAAGAAACTGACATCAACACCATCTACACCAATGGCACCAACCACAACTTCGTATACGACTGCGCCAAAGAACCAACTTACACCCCCCTCGACGCCTCCTACTCCGGTTTCGACCTCCACACCCTCCCCAATACCCTCACCCTCGGCCATTACCTCAACCCAGTCCATTACCACTGGAAAAAACAGTTGAGCGACGACATGGCATCACGGCTCCTCAACCCCATCATACTCGAACTAGTCACCCTCAGTGATGGGAACAACGTCACCATCCGCTACCACCACACATTCTGCATGATCTTCAAACCAGCCCACCTCCTCTATGTGGGACGCCGCCCCTCCGTCGAAGTCAACAAACTAGCCCCCCCAAACGCTACCACTAAAACCACCCTTGACCCGGCCTTCCACATGGGCGACGTCCTCGAATGGCAGATGTCTTTCCCCCCGGGCCACCACCACGACAAACACATCTGCAAAAAACTCGGCAGCAAGCTTTTCCCCATGTGGAACAGCAACCAACCCACCCAAACCGAGCGCCGCACCGGGCTAAAGATCCTCGCCGCCTACGAAGTCTGCCGCCAATCGCAAACTCTCCCCTCAGGCTCTCAGGCTCCTTTGCATCAAAGCTCTCCTCCTTCACTACCAGATCAACCATCTAACCACAAAACTCCAAACCAATGGGCCTCCTACCACAAGCGGTAACAAATGGAGACMAACAAGGTACAGAACAGGCACAGATACAGCGCCCCAAAGCTATCTGACCCTGCTACCGCACTACTTGTAGAGTTCTAAGTCAATTTAGTCAAATCCAAATTAGGCAAACATAACTCAAAGTCAATATATATATATACCTAGTGAACAGATGAAAGGTACCATAGAACCGAGAGGCCCAGTAACCATGATACCACATCTCGCTACCGCCACAGGAAGAAGGAACGACAAGGCTCCAACAACTCAGGCTAAGAGCTGTTAGGAACAACTGCGCTTAGTTAAAGGAGTGTTGGGAGCGATGGACAGACAACAGACAGCAAAACCCAAATTCACTGGTTTCATTAGTCTCATCTTGCCACAATACCATCTTACTGCGCCGCTTGCTGAAGAATGAGCTTCAAGGCTCTGTGCTTTCCTTTGTTGGGGCGTATGCTGCCTTGGTTGCTTGGTTTCGCTGTCTGTCCTCTGTCCATCGCTCCCAACACTCCTTTAAGTTACGCAGGTTCTGGCGGGGCCCATTTCTTACATCAAAATTAGGCCACCACCAGCTAGTAGTACTGTAACTTTGGTGAGGTAGTTCTAACAAGAATTGAACTTAAAAAATAAAGGTTCTCTTTTTTGCCAAAAATAGCTAACTTGGAATGTTAGTTTATCTCTGTAGGCTTACTATGTAGATCCTAGTGTAATCCCTATTCTTCTTTGGTACTAGGGCGCCAGCATTCAAAAACAATAGTAGGAGTAATTGTTCTTGTTTTGTTCTTCTTGTTGTCCCTGCCTACTACAAGTAAAAAAGAGGAACAAGAAGAGGATGCTTCTTTGTCCCCCCTGGTGCTAACATTTGGTATGTTAAGTGGAATGTTAGTGTACTACTCATTACCACACAGGAGGACAAGGAGGCCTTCTGTGTTCTTAACATCATGCCAAACCTCAAGTACTACACCACATTCAGCCAGAATGCCCTGGAACCATGTAAATTTCAATTTTTAGGAAAGAATTAGATTCCCAGCACCACGTTCCCTATATCTCCAAATGTTAGTAGTAGTATCTTTGTAGAATTGTTCACCAACGTTCTAATTACACCATGAATATAGTACTAAATAGTAGTAGTACCTGAAAAAGCCAGCAGCAGCAGTCTTAAAAGGATTGGTGGTACTAGTAGCACTGGCTAGTAGTACCATTATTAGTAATGAATGAGGATTCTTCCTAGTAATATGCTGATCTGGATGGTTACAGCCCCACATCATGTGACACCCCTCCTCAGAGGNCTTCTGATCATTGCAGGTCCCAGTGTATACTGGGTTCGGGCTGCCCGCGCCAGTGACAACATTGCTCATCCTCTCCCGTTCTGAAAGTATTCTGGGGCAAAAAGAAATCGATTCGATATGTCTGGCGTTCGGTACTACCGTAGCTAGGGTTAAGGCGAGTCAATCGGTCAAGTTGTTCCTCCTATTTCCTGGACGTGCTGTCTTTACGCGAAAGCCCGATCAGTCCATTACAGATGTGGGGTGCCAACAAATAGTTCGTAGAAGTCTTGTGATCGCTTGACTTTGAGATTGTGCTGCTAACGCGACTCCATTGCGAACACGAAGTGAGAGAAAAGTGGAAAATGGAAAACTACCGAGTAACGCAGGTTCTGGCGGAGCCCGTTTCTTACATCAAAATTAGCCCACCAGCTACTACTGTACTGGGCCCTCATTTAGAATTTTCAAAACAATTCAATAGTTTCTCGTACACCCCGCGAAACAAGGAGAAACAAAGAGAATACTTCTCTTTGTTAGAAAGGGCAATATTCTCATTGTTTCTTGTTGTTGTAACAAAGAGAAACTAAGAGAACATTGCCTCTCCTTGTTTCTCTTTGTTTCACAATGTTTAAATAAGGAGAAACAACGAGAATATTGCCTGGGTTATTTTCTCATTGTTTCTCTTTGTTTAAGAAGAAGCAGAGTAAATTTTACCTGGGCACTATTCTCTGTATTTTTACATAGTGAAATGATGGGAGCAATTCCTGTTCATACAAGGAGAAACAAAGAGAATATTGCCCAGGTAATATTGTCTTTGTTTCTTTATGTTTAAACAAAGAGAAACAAAGAGAATATTGCTTCTCCTTGTTTCTCTTTGATTCGTCGATTTTTAACAAAGAGAATATTGCCTTGGCAATTCTCTCTTTGTTTCTCTTTGTTATAACATGGAAAAATCTATGGGAATCCCTATCTTGGTTGGTGACTGTCTTCCTTAAAAACTAACAGAGGGCCCAGTAACTTCTTTGATGAGCCAGTTCTAACAAGAATTGAACTTAAAAAATAAAGGTTCTCTTTTTCGCCAAAAATGGCTAACTTAAAATGTTAGTTTATCTCTGTAGGCTCACTATGTAGATCCTAATGTAATCCCTATTCTTCTTTGGTACTAGGGCACCAGCATTCAAAAACAATAATTCTTTTGTTCTTCTTGGTGTTGTCCCTGCCTGCTACAAGAAGAAAAAAGAGGAAGAAGAGGACACTTCTTTGTCCCCCCTGGTGCTAACATTTGGAATGTTAAGTGGAATGTTAATGTACTACTCATTTCTACACAGGAGGACAAGGAGGCCTTCTGTGTTCTTAACATCATCATGCCAAACCTCAAGTACACCACATTCAGAATGTCCTGGAACCATGTAAATTTCAATTTTTAGGAAAGAATTAGATTCCCAGCACCACGTTCCCTATGTGTCCAAATGTTAGTCGTATCTTTGTAGAATTGTTCATCAACGTTCTAATTACTACACCATGAATATAGTAGTACTAAACAATAGTAGTACCTGAAAAATCCAGCAGCAGTCTTAAAAGGATTGGTGGTACTAGTAGCACTGGCTAGTACCATTATTAGTAATGAATGAGGATTCTTCCTAGTAATATGCTGATCTGGATGGTTACAGCCCCACATCATGTGACACCCCTCCTCAGAGGAGGAAGGAACCACCACCACTCAGAGCAGCTAGCGCAAGAAACTTCTTCAGTTTGATTTGGGCCGTCCTAGTGCCCCAGCACTACTTCATAAGGTTAACTATGATATAAAAATTTATTTTTTTTACCATTCTTACCTATCAATGAAGATCCCCCCTTCTCCAAGAAGACCTCACCAACATCCTCATCATCAATGTAACCTTTCCTTCTTGGATCGTCAAAAGTTTCCTCTCCACCACCACCAGCAGTTCCAAGTTTTGCCTTGATACCAATCAATCAATGGGCCTCTCTTGCAGAAGAACRGTGGACTCATGACAATTGGATTTCCTGCTGTAGGTGCCTTGTTCTGTCTCCTCAACAACAAGCAAGAATTGAATTTGTTCCTGGTTGTGGTGATGGAATCCTTGGTGGTGGTGTGACGTGGTTCTCCCATATACTACTAGTAGTAGAAAGCACTAGTACTAGCCATGCCTGTTTACCACAGTGAGCCAGTCACCTTCTTTACCAATGGGCAGGATCACCTTGATGTGGGTAATCAACAAGACAAGCTCCTCCTCTTCTGAGTACTACTTTCCAGTGGCATCAGCCTTCAGGCCCAACCCATCTATTTTTGCTTGCTCAGTTAAGGTACGTACTAACGTAGTAGGTACGAGTAACCGTACGGTACGGTACGGTACCAGGAACTTGATTACAGATCAAGAGAGATCGTCTGGTGCCATTCGAACAGGACCGTCAACATCATCATCAAGATCGTTCTCATCACACAAGACACACATCTACAACAAGAACAAGCGTTTCGTGCACTGCTTCGAATCCAAGCGATAACCGCCTGTAAAACTTTACCCATAATGGCCGACTTGACGGTATTTGCCGAATCCTTGATCGCAACTGTTGCGAGAGCCTTTTACGACGACGATGCTGTTTGCTTGATCGATGTTCTCATTCGAGACAAGTTTCTTCGCGACGATGATATGGCAAAACGGCTSACCATGCCMGCAAAGAAGCTTCGCTCTACCCTGCAATTCYTGCAGGACGAGCAGCTGGTCAAATGGGAAACCGTTGATGATTTGAACCAGGGTGGTTCCCAGTCCACGAAATTTTGGTACATTGATTACAACCACGCGGTGCACACAATCCGATTGCGGCTACATTTGTTGCGGAAAGAACTAGAAGCCGACGAAAATCGCAGTAGAAGCTCGTCCTTTTATTTGTGCGATGGGTACAAGGCGCGGCGCTGCAATGGTCGATATAGCGAGGAGGAAGCCCAGCAAATGGTCGACATGAACACGGGAGCGTTCTTGTGCCAAGAATGCTATCTGAACTACAACAACAACCCGAATGGGCCTCCGGTAGATACATACACACTGCGACTAGTCGATAACGCAGATGAATTGCGGCGTGCAGTGAATAACATTCGAAGGGGTAAGTATCTTTGGGTAAAAAGTGGTTTCATACCATTCTTMAAGAGTGCAGAGTTGTAATCTGTGCACTGAAKGATTTACGATCAGGCCTTGAGTTCTATCATTGTGCTCTCTTGAGGGAATCCGGAAAAGGACGAGCATGGACCTCACGGAGAAACTATTTTCTATTTCTATTGTGTATTGGTTTCGTCGATGKTATGATGTAGTGAATGTTCAGTTRTCGGGGAAAACGGTTGGGAGTCAACAGCTAAGAGCCGGTATATACGATTTGATTCAAAAAGTGCGAGGAAAAGGGAAGGCTCCTATCACAAGCAACTTGCCTTCGGAAAACTTTGCGTTAGGAAGAGGTTCGAAGCGAATTGAAGGGTAAGTATACTAACAGGAGTTGTTGATCCCTTGCAGTGTATTCTACGAATGCGAATTCCAACTTTTTCCTGACCTCACCACTGGTGAATGGACCGTCATTCATCGGTCGGTTTATTTACCTTGTCACCATTTTCACAATGCAGAACCGGGCGTACTGCTGGAATYAAAACTCGTAAATTACAAAAAGAGGGCGTAGCAGACACAGCGGACTCTGCTAGGAATATTTTAGTAGGTGGTGGCAAGCGTACTGGCTTCCAATCGGACTTGACGTTCTTGAAGAATGCCATGGGGGATGGAGTCCACTTTTGTATCGAAAAAGGTGGGAGTGCTCGAGCCAATTTGTTGAGTCAGCACCATTCAAATCTTCAACGAAAAAAGAGGAAATTATTGGATGCCGCAGCGACTAGGGTCGGAACGACTGTCACTCTGTTGGAGCAAAAGGAAAATGAGGAACGAGAAAAACGTAAGCAARAAGAAGAAGAAGAGCGAGAGCGTAGAGAGCAAGAAAACCAGACTGGAGAAAACGGACGTGACAATGGCGACGAACACAGCAACAAACATACAAAGAAGGAAGAAAATGGTGGTGGAAAAACTGACGAAAAGACCAAGAAAGCTGTCAATGGAAAGGTTCTTCTTGGAACAACCGGTATGGATTGGCTAAACGACAATATATCAAGTAGGGCCGAGTTAGACCGAGAAATGGAAAAATTGCGACAGCAAGATAGAGAACAAGAAATGTTGTTATTGGCTGCTACTGCTGAACAAAACGACGTATCGCACAACGCTAGATCAAAATACATATTCTTATCAGATTACATAGACCCCGCTCTCCAAGCCCCTAGTCTATGGGATGAAAAAACTCGAAAGATGACGTTCCAATCCCTATATAAAAAAGAAATTGGCAGACAAGCCAGTCTCTTGGAACTTCCGGAGTACAGGGAGACAGCAGGGACTTTTTCGAGCCCGCCTAAGGGGCTCATGCCCTCAGCCAATGTTGTTGATGATCGAGCGGTCGCCTGGGAGGATGGTTAGGCCGAACCAAGAGCAACCACATAAAATATAAAKCGTCCTTGACGTCGTTTGCAAACAGGATGGCTTCAATCGAGAAGGGATTCTTTGTTTGTGCTAACTTAACTGCGTTATTGATGACGAGACCAATTTAACTTCCATGCCGTCTTTTGAATTGACCATCTAACTTTTTTGGCATGAGTTTAAATCTATCAGCACACTTTTTWGAGACATATTRACAAATTATCATGGATTAGCGATATCCTTCTTTCTTGGACCGAAGTGCGAAGTAAGCAATGATACGGGGCCATAAAGCAAATAGAAACAGCATGCTTGTATTGAATGCAACTGTGTTTTTGACTCGRAACAAATCCAAGACAATGTCGGGAGAGACCGTGCCCTCGATACTTCCGTCACATTGAGGGATGATATCACTTCCATCACACGGTATTGGTTCACTGAAAACAATTGGGAGGACAGAAAAAAATGCGTAACTATAGGGAGATACATATTGCCCCCACGCCAACCACGAAGGGACGTTTTGAACAAAGAACCCTCCCAACAATGCCAAAAAAAGAGCAACAACAGTCAAAACTGTTGCCCCTTTCTCCATGTCGTAAATTGTGGATCCGACAAGGAGTCCGAGGGCCTCTCCAGCCATGACGCTCATTAAGGTGATCCCCACGGTGGAGATGAATACTAAGCAGCTTGTACTTATCGACGCCATCCAAAAACTTATTGTCATRTAAAGGCATGGGAGTATGATCAGGGCAGGTAGCTCACTAGTCGTCTTAGCAAGAAAGTATGCGCTGAGACGATACGATCCACTTGAKCGTTCCTTCAAAACCACTTCTCGTTCGGTAGGAAAGGTCGTAAAAGATTGAAACATGGATTCCATGACCCACAACGTCATAGTAAAGAAGAAATATGATCCACGATCATGAATAGATGCCTCGGTGTAATCCATCTGAAAATATAGGGCCCCGGTTACCAAACCAAGAAGAATACTCTTCGTGATATTCATCGGAGTGAAAATGGCGGACTTGGAGTTTTTGAGAGATCGATTCACAAGAATCTTATACTGCTGTCCCCAGCTGGTATTGTATTTAGAATAATTCTTGTCTTTGTTTACCACGCTTTGTTCTTCTCCCATATTRACACTATGATCTACCTCTCTCGCTATAGTTTCATTGTCCCACGTATCAATCAATAGGTGACGTGTACTCATAGTCTCATCACAACCTCTCTGCGTTGTAGATTTATCCTGTACAAGCAAATCCATCCAATGGTCTGCAGCATTGTATCCATCAGGACACGCCATGTCGTGATCTTTCAAATAGATCAAAGAATCCTTTGGTTTTCCAAAATATACTGCATGGCCTTCAGCTAAAAATAGAATTTTACTAAAGGAGTGAAAGAGTGCCGAACTTGGTTGATGAATTGACATTATCACGGTCTTTTTTTCTTCTCTCGCTAGCTGTTGCAACATCTTTACAAGTTCCACGGATGTGGTCGAGTCTAATCCACTCGTGGGCTCATCCAGTAACACAATATCTGGATCTGTCAGCAATTCGGTGCCAATGTTCACACGCTTCTTTTCACCRCCGCTCAACATTCTAATCTGCGAGTCTGCTACTTTGGACAATCTTAGGAGTTCGATTGTGCGATCTACCTCTGCAGACTTTTTCTCCRCGGACCAAGWTTGAGGTAGYCGCAGGGAGGCAGTGTAACCAAGCTGATCACGAACCGTCAAATACTCAAAAAAAATATCGCTTTGCTTGACATAGGCAATATTGGCCTTGAGTTGTTTCATATCTTGCTGACTCAAAGGATTTCCATTGATTGAGAGTCCTCCGCTTTCAGGAGACATGCGTCCACTTAGACAATTAAGGAGGCTTGTCTTCCCAGATCCAGACGGACTGGTGCMAAAACAAAGAAAATGTGCATCTAAGTGAGACAATCAAAAGGTTCATACTTTTAAAAATACTGAAAAAATATAACTAGTACTTACCCCATCATTGCCAAGATTTCACCCGGTGCCGCAAAACCTGAGACTTCTGACAATATTACCTTCTTAGCATTTGCACCTTTGACTTGACCAGGAGCAACTGACGGTTTGCCAAACGAGACACGAGGATCATAAGCTGCCGGAACCGTGACTGTCTTTTTCAATCGACTCCATCGCAGAAATAGGCCGCTGTTGTCTAAACTATTCTTACGACGAATTGTGGATTCAGTGTCTAGTACATCGTCACCCGAAGGAAGAGAAAGTTTTGACGACTGGATGTGCATAATACAATGGAAAGTTTTAGGCTTATTTTGGTTTGAATCCAATTCGAAATTGTGAGAGGTGAGAGGTAGAAGAATAATTGGCTAAAACCGATCGGAATACTAGTTATAGTTACATTTGCGTTGTTTTGCGATAACTTRGTCATGTTAGATCACGTCATGAATGGTTCCGTGAAAAAGTTAAAATGGTCACGTATCTAAGCTGTTTTTGAAACGTGGATCAGTCTACGCACGATTCACTCGTCATGTCGATTGGATTGGATTCAATCGACCAAACTTTACGCATCTTGTTCGCGTACGAGTATGTTCTCGTACTGCATACCTTACCGGCCGGTACTCGTACTTACGGTTTTTTTCGTCATCATTATTTTGTTTGCGATCAAAACCGTTTTGACGTTTTGACATCTCGAAGACAAAGAATTTTCTTGAGGGTTAGCGAAAGAACAAAATTGAAGTTTTAGCTTACTATGATGTGGATTCGTCTTTCGAAGACAAAGAAGCACATTTGAACTTCCAAGTTGTCACTCATTCTCACTATTCCTATGATTCGAATGCGGTTTCTGTCGGGAAGAATAAGTGGAATCATGGCATTTAGGAATCACCATTTTGATGACGGAAGAATTCCAAGTTGGCTGAAAGAGCATTGCTTACGACTAAAGGATGAGGGAATGAATCTGCGTAATCTTAACCTAAATATACGACGTCTTAACCTACCAAGCATTCTTGCATTGTCCGAGGCTCTCAGAGACAACAAAACGATAGAAACAGTAAACCTAACGACTTCGTTATCAAATACTCAGAATGACCAGGACGCTAATCGGATACTGATGCCATTCGCATATGCCCTTCGTCACCACGTTTCCTTAAAGACTGTTCATCTCTCCTATAACCAGCTCACGAATGCCACATCTTTAGGAACTAGCCTCGAAATGAATCAATCATCGCTTACGGAGCTCCATCTGGATCATAATCGATTGAATAACGAGACGGCATTTGCCCTGGCACGCGCTTTGCAACGTAACGACAAATTATCTGTTTTACAGCTCAACTCCAATAACTTRGGTGACGAGGGAGGAGAGATGATTGCCAAAGCTTTGAGGTACAACAGTACTCTAAAATCCTTGGGTTTGGCGCGAAACTCTTTAGAGTCGAAGACGGCCAGTGCCTTATTCGAAACACTAGACTTCTACGGAAATGTCAGTCTTGTACATCTCTCTTTGAACGACAACCCCGRCTTTCCCTTGTTATCGAAAGCTACTATTATGTACCTAGTGCGAGCTAATCGTGCTGGGAGATATCTCCTTCGAGATAACTACACCAAGAGCAGTGATATTGATAGCTATGATACAGCCGATGTATATGRTGACAGTGCRAACAATGGTCTTTCGCGATCTGTGGAAGGCAAGAAAGTGGATCTTGGTTGCTTTGGCAAGCACAAGAATAGAGACTTTGTTGGGATTAAGAGAGATTACAGGCGAGGACTATGGCCACTAGTTCTAGAAGGTTTGGAACCCAATATGATGTATTTCTTCGTGCGAGAGAACCCGAACTTGATGCACTTCGAATTGAAGGAAAAACTATCATAAAAAACAGCTGAAGAAAAAATAACGACTAAAACTCAGTCAGTGCTATTATTGGGACTTGTATTCTGTGCAATAATAGATAGTTATGCAATTCATRTGGAGTTTGTTAAGTTAATTCGCCACTGCCACCGATTCCCATAAATCCGTCACCACCTCTGGTGTTACTATTCAGGCCAAGATAACGCCTCACTAGTTTGAGGGCAGTTCGTCGCCCATAAGGCACATAGCTCAAACTGTACCAAATATTTGCTCCGAATTGGCTTACCAGTAACGATATCAGAATTGTTAGCTTCGCAGCCCAGAAAAGTGGAATAAAAACGACAACCAATGTGCTTGCCAAACACGACAGATAAACAATGGAAACCGTCTTTCGTTTGGCGTCAAACATGTTTCGAAATTGTCGCTTAGGACCACATAAAAATCCAGAAGCGCTCATGGCTAGTATGTTTCCGATCGTATAATTTAAAGCGAACGGGATTGGGTAACCCTCGATCAGTTGGACGAAGAACTTGAATGACATGAATGTGATCAAATCTATCGTTGTTCAAGAATTTTTTTCGAATAGGAGCCATTGACGAAAGATATGAGGCGCACATTWGATTAGTTATCAGAGGAACGTCATAAGCAGGACCGAAAAAGTGAGTCAATCAACTGGAAATAAATAAGAGAGCACAATTTTCGATCATTCTTTTGGCTGCTCTAGACGATCCTGTTCCGTCAAGCCCAATGGTGAACAATCGGGTTCGWATCTACTCACACGCAATCGTAAAGCACGATGCAAAACCGATAAGGCGCTGCTGCAAGGTGAGTTCCGGGCACAACAAATCGGCCGCTTCCTCGACAAAGGTAGACGACTGCTCGCTGTTGTCCACMGACGGTTCGTCGTCTCCTCGAACGAACAATCCYCGGAACGACGACGTCCGAGTAGAGTTGCTCTCACCCACACCACTAGCGTTTGCCATCTCAACGTCTAAATTCGAGGAGCTACAGTCATCCTTATTCAGACCAACCATCAGCTGAGCTTTGCTCAAAGCGTTGCTAGAGGCCTGTTTGAAACTGTCCAATGAAGGTCGCATGTTTTTTTCTTTTCTCTAGAGTATTCCTTTTCTCGGTTGAGGTGTTTGGCGTTTACTTCAACYTCTCCCCTACGTTGTCTCTTTCGGTTATTACTGTGGTCTACCTTTTTCTCCTGGTCCTACTCTGCGATGTCCTCTCTGTTCATCCCAATAAGTTGCAAATGAAATTCGACAGGGTCAATGACTTCARAAGAAAAAAGCGGAGGGACAAATTAACCGTGCAGGTATGGTACGTACCGGTACAGAGTGCCAGGTTCGAAGGGTTTTCCGAACGCGCATGCACGTATTTATCCGTTGAGGGTTGAGGGGCAGCGACTACGGCATCGTACGAGTTTAACTTGAGTAAAATTACACCTAGAATTAACGCAGGAATTTTGGCCCACTACTACTGTAACTTCTGCATACTAGTTCTAAGCCGCCAGAGCATCCTTAAGCATCCCAATGACCTGGATCACTAAGTAATTGTATTATCTTGGTCTGGGCGCTTAGTCTGGTGCTCTAAAGTTTTTTTTGATAGAGTTCTGGCCTATTTTCTAACTAGCAGGCGCTCTTGCAAACCGGCCAATTTTGGCCATACCGGGTGTTAGTGGAGAATCGCCCCCCCCCCCCCCCTGGCCCCTAATCGTGTAACAATGACACATGGGGCTATTCCCAACATGATAAGGAAGCTTTTCCCCAAAGGGGATCTCATTACAAGCCTTTCCGGAGCTGTTGTGTTTAGCTTATTTTACCTCATTGAGCTGTTTGTAGTGGAAAAAGTTACCGAAAACTAGTAGATCTGTGTAGGACCAGTACTAAAATACGGTGCCCAAAATTAACCGTGATGCTACTAGTAATAATTTTTGGTGTTTGAATAGAATGCCTTTCTGCCCTGTAGGACATGGTAGGGTTCATACGGTTAACGCATTTTACTCCGATTAAACTCGTACCCCCCCCAGCTGCAACTAACTCGTGTCCGAAGAGGCTTCGTGTGATGGGGGAGACGGGATTCATTCTTCAGGTCCCTCAGGGTCCTCTGGTACCCACGAGCACATCCCCCTACATTTTCAAATTCCTCCCCTAGAAAAACGCAGGTTATTTTTGGTGAAAAATGACCCACTTTTTTAGAATCATTGGTTCTTATTTCATGGGAAAATAACCCATGNAATTCCTCCCCTAGAAAAACGCAGGTTATTTTTGGTGAAAAATGACCCACTTTTTTAGAATCATTGGTTCTTATTTCATGGGAAAATAACCCATGTTTCTAAAATGTGGGTTAGTATTTCATCTGGAAAAAAAACACAAAAGAACCAAGGAACCCARAAGTGACCCACAAATTTACAGTCATTTAGGTCAGTGGTGGAGAACCAAGGATCATGTAAAGTAGGCTGCTAGTACTAGTAGTATCATTTTAGTAGTCATTAACATGGAAATTAATAAATCAGCACTGTTTTTGGTGTTTGAAAATAGGCCCAGCAGATATGTGGGTTATTAGTGGGTTTCACAGAAACTCATGGGTTTCTTGTGGGTTATTTTTGGGTTATTTTGTGGGTCATTTGTGGGTTAACCCAGGAACCCACAATCCAAGCAGTGGGTTGTTTTTGGTGAAAAATAACTCACTTTTTTTCAACAACAATGGTTGTTCCATGGGATAAATAACCCATGAAAACATGCCCCATAATTTYGATTTCAAAGGGGGTATGCAAGAAAAATGGGTTCTGGGGGGCCCTGGATTCACAGAGATTTTGTTTATTTTTTTGACAAAAACAACAATAACAAGAAGAATTTCAAGGTCCACCTTGTGGTACTGAAAATTGTAATTGGTATTGATCACAAAAAAGTGTGATGGTGAGAGAAACCAAATTTAAGACTGGGATTCTTAAAATGCCCCCCCCTGCCTAATGACCCTGTATTTTTTATCTYGGTACCGTATGTTTCTTTTTCTTTTAAAAAGATTTTTGCTGATATGCTGCTGGATGTTCCTCTCCAATTCATTTTTGTTAGTATGAAGTTGTGGCTCATCAACCATAGTATGGAACAGTACTTCAGTATTGACCCACATAGACCCAACATACATACCATACAAGTAGTGTTGATATGAGTTTTTCCAGTTGAATCAAACCGCTTTGTCTAAAATAAATTAAACAATTAACAGAGGGAATAAACTGATTGCAAACCACTTGTTCCTTTCGTTGCTTTGTGAGCAGCTTGTCAGTAACAGCATCTATACTGATTTTCAGCTACCATACAAAACAAACAACAAGAAGCAATTGATACTGGAGTATAAGCTCAATRCTTGTCAAGCAAACACCACCAGCACAAGCAAATCACATGCAAATCACAAATCAATACAAGGTACTCTGGAGGCAAAGGACTTGTCCCCCACAGCAGCAAAACTCTGCATTGCTGTTTGAKGGGGGAAAAATTACAATTTTAGCAACAACAACAAGCAACAGGAAGCAAGAAAGAACTACACCAAGCAGCAATCAGCCCAATACTTCTGCTGGAAGAGAACAAGCAAAGTGTCACCAGAAAACAAATAAATACTAGTACTAGGGGGGATAATCAATACTGAGGGGACAAGAAGACTAATTGATGCTGGAGGGGACAGCAGAAAATCAATAATGGAGACCATAACAAAGCCCTACTGGAAGCAACAACAAATCACTTAGCAAAATTGATACTGGAGGAAGAAGAATGGATGTCAAGAATGCTGGCTTGCCACCCCTCTTGATTCAGCATCCACCATACAAGTATGTTTGACACAAACACTTCAAGGATATTTGTTATAAGGAAGAGAAGATTCAAGTGTGCAAGGAAGACCTTGAATCTACTACTCCTTTCTGCATCAGATGGAACAGTCAAGATAGGGGAGRAGGAAAATGTTTTGAGTGCACATGTCTCCATGTATTTGTACAGTGGTCTACTACACCTGACAGCAAAAACAATAGAGAAGCAGTACTAGCAAAAAATTATGTACTTATTTGCACAAGACAGGAAAATTTGACATGGGATAGTGATGGATTGGATTTGCTAGGAGTATACTGTGTTGGCAGAACAAGATTTTCCTTCCTTTCATCAATTCAGTCTGGGAGGAGGAGGAAGATGTGATTGGAAAAACAGTGATTGGAAAAACACATGGTGCTGGTGTTGTTGCTAGTAGTGCAGARACCCTCAAATATAGCAAGGTCTGCCATTCAGTTTTGAGTTCTGAGCTTGACATTGGAAAGCATCAACAGTGGAAGAAGCAATACCAGGATAATGTTAACACCACAAATAGTACAATGCCTGTACATGACAATTGCATTCAAAGATCTCCCAAAGGCCAAGGGTTTGACGAGGAGGTCAGGGATGACCTTGTTCAACATTTGAACAGCTGAAACTATTGTCAGAGCCACAATCAACCAGAGTTGTCAGTCATGGTACTAGCTGCAGTCTTTGGTGTAACAGAAAGGACACTCCTTCCAACTTACTTTTCAGAGGGAGGAATGTATGAACGCTTTGTGAATGAATGTGGTAGGATTTTGAGTTGCAAATCAAACTGAGATAACCAGGCAACAGTTGATACTAAATCAGCAACAGTTAATAATCAGTACATCAAGGGAGAGGCAACAGATCTGTTGCCAATTTGTTCTTGGTTGAAATTTAGGAGGTTTTGGAAAAAAGAGTTTTCAAKACTCTATTTTGGGAAAGCTGCTGAGGATGCATGTACCTTCTTATGTCATGCATACYATGATCAGATGAAGTATTAACTGAAGGAAAAAGATGATGATGATGATGCTGCTGCTGCTGCTGCTGCAAGAAGATCGTCAGGTACCTGTAATGATAATAGATCATCTGATGATGATTCCAACAATGATAGTAATCAGCAGTAGCAAAAACCAGATGCAACACCTCCTGTAGATATGACACTTCCAATGAATGCAACCTCATCTTGACAAGAAGAGTGTATCAATGAATTCAATGAGCTGATTTTGGAAGTCTACCTTCATGTTGAAGAAGCAGCAGATCAGAGAGTTTGTTGCTATGAAAAGATTGCAGAAGCAGTAACCACTGATCAAGAGGAAAATAATGAACAGGCTGGCTGATTGTACTATCAGAACAGTAGAGATGGATTACAGTCAAGTAAAATGTTCAATTACCATAGGTAGGTGCAAATCAGCCTGGGAATACATACTATACTATGTCACCACTGAGGAGGGTAGTACAGTATTTATTTTTGCAATTTTTGATTGTGGAATAAAATGYGGGGAACTAGTAACTGTGTATGTTTATCACAAAGGAGAATGCATAAAGGGAGGCAATGAGGTGGCTTCATTGCTATGTATGTGTACCTTARAAAGAAACATTGGTTGTTCACCAATGATCCAACAGGAGGAAAGGAGCTGAATGTTATGATGTATAACTGCACAGGCCATCAAAAATAACTAGAAGACCAATTCTACAATTWTATTGTTCCAGGAAAACTTTTATCAGGACACATCTTTTCTATTGAATCTTCAAACCCAACAACTAAGGCTGTTTTAGAAGTTAGATTAGGTACATCACCTCCACACCAGACAAAACTTGAAGAGCAGCACTTGAAGTATGTGTGATCAAGCTTGAATTGAATCACTTAGGCACCTGTCTGGGATTGATATCCCCAATCAAACAAAYAGAAATTTRATCAAAATGGAGAGACATAGTACCAGAGGAACATTCGAACGAAATTTGTCCCAAGCCACCAGTACTGGAGAAGCATAAGGAAGAAGTACAAGCAAAAAGACAGGGCAAGAAGCAACACCTGAGTTTTTGTGTAAATATTCTTTACTTTTAGCATCCCTATTGATAGTAGTTATTTTTTGCAGGCGCATGGTGTCATAGTGGTCRAGCCACGTATAATGATCCCTGATACGTACAGCAGATAGTTGGGGATTCTTGAGGTGGTGTCTTTCTAGATGATCCATGACATTAGCAGCCGCAATGGTTGACCCTTATTTTCCAATACACCAAAACAATCCGCCAGTATAGTAGAAAGTCATTGCTGCTCCTTCCCTTGAATCATGAACTGATGCTGTATGGTTTAGTCAAATCGTAGATGTTGGTGATAGAGATGGCGAAGAGGATGAAATCTCTTTGGATGGCCTAGTGAACCTCCTGTATGTATTGTTATCATCATTGATTTTGCCGTGTTTATTGTTCTTCCCAATGCCACTCGTCCAGTAGAGCATTTTRGTCTTTGCAAACGCCGCGTCGCAGGAGCTATCGTCCTCCTCTTCCGCCGGAGCAGGGAKGCCCTTGACGATTCTCTCCAATACCAATTTTGTTCTAAGGACCAATAGCGAAAGGTCTTTCCCGTTGCCACGATGATCGTCGCCGTTCATAATGTCCCCCATCTCGGCAACGTGGTTCATCTTGTGCAAAAACGTCACCCAGTCGTAGCTACCGCAACCATTTTGCTGCTGCTGCTTTTGCCCATTAGCTTCCATTGTCAATTCTATCGCTGACAACAACGCGGCGTAGGCAATAACGGCAGATGGAACAGAAAGGAAACGGTCGTGTGCCATGGCCACTTCAATAAAGTCCAGAGCAACCTCTTCAACGGTTTCCAATTGTTCTCGACGRTATTGTTCGATTGGATCGAATTTGTTTTGGCATCCATGCTTGGTGCTTACATCGTCGTTGTCCATATCCCTTTCGCTCCCGCTATCACCTGTACCTCCTTCGTCGTCAGAAAATTGCAACAGCTCTAGGTATCGCTGGAGGAAACAATTGGCTGTCGGTGGATTTATTCTCCAGGATAAGGCTCGCAGCAATTCCTGCTCTTTCTGAATGATGTCGTCTTCGGTGAACTCACCATTCCCGAGCTTGACGAGGCAACTCAGTTTTACAACACGCACGGTAGGGGAATCGTATACCTTAAGTGCAAGGTGCAGAGATGTCATAGCGCATAGTTGGTAATCCCGCGGTGACTTCACCAACGACGACGACGAAGATGAGGAAGCCCAAACAGCAACGTCTAAATAATATACCGCCGCAGCAGTTGCCTCGTGCTTTAGCTTACAGTATTTSACCAGGATGTACATCCACTCGACTATTTGCTTTCTCCACATCCCACGAAATATTTCAGGCAGACATTGTGCGTTGGGACGTTTGTAAACRGAATTCTCCAACGATTTCATCGTTCTCAAAACAGTAGTTCGTTCGTCGACGCCATCGGTGTCGTCGTAATGGTAAGAGGGAGTACTGCTGGTCGTGTTAACACCTACACTATACATGCTTTGGCCGATGCGGCAGCTGCTGCTGCTGTTGTGGGAAGAATCAATTRTTGTGCTACAATGATTCATGGTGTAGCAATACAAAGGATACAAGCGGGGATTTTCAACTGTCAGAGTTGTACCGGTAAGGTGATACRAGGGCGTGAATATTGTCGTGTACTCTCTGCTTCCGGAAAGCACGAATAAGTAGGAAATTTTGCTCGTAACGTGACGAATTCGGAGAATATTAGTGAAGTRAAGTGAGGATAAATGCGTCTACCGTCAGCCGTACGTTCGGTACAGTACTTCTGAGTTCTGRATAGTGAAGCAGGTTTGAAATCGAGAAAAAGTCGAGAAGAGAGTTTTTTAATGCTTCAATAATGAGTGCGTGGTCGCAAACGATTGGACAGCTTTGAGTCTCCGGGTTTTCGAGTTACAGTACCGATAAAATTAATCGTCGTTTTCATTTCGTCTTCAGCTTTCGTCTGTTTGCAGCTGACCAGGTAACAAGGAAAGATGACGACGATGGCAACTCCGACGATTCAACCGTGCGGTACAGTTCTTACTTACAGTACAAGTACTTGTACTTCCTACAACCTTAACTACTGTGCTCCTTAGYKTACGGTACGCTACTATTGTCAATCTTCCCAGACGTACCTACGGTCCTTACCGTAACCTTGGATTCAATGGAGGGAGAGAGGGCAATTGAAAAAATGAATTCCAGCCTGCTTTTTTATCTAGATATTACTAGTATGTACCGTTAGCTTTTCGAACAACCTTACAGTACTGTACCTATGTACTTTTACTTTGTAATCGCTCGAAGTCATCCACGAATGAAATTCTGATTTTTTTGAGTTTTCTGGGGAAGAGAGAAAATTACGTACGGTACGTACTAATAGTACCACTACCGTACTGTGTAGCACAGTAATGTTTTGTCGACGGAGTCGAGATAGTCAATCGGCATTCGGTACAAATAAACCTTAACTCGAATGATTACGAATATCTTCCACKAAGGGCAGCAGGATTTTCGAAGATGGATGGTTTACTTATGGATCTTGATTTGACGCTTCCTTCTCTTTCTTGGGTATTTATCGAAACGGATTTTTGCCATCAAACTCATAATTGAGCCAACACCGAGACAGCAGAAGAACATGGTTGTAGCATAATCAATGCACTCATAAATTCGCATCCAACACRAAACAAGCCATGAACATTCTAACAGTGATTATTGCGTTGACTGCGATCGTAATTGTACCACCATCGATTCATGATCGAGCACATGGATTCGTTCCATCGTGCCCATCCCGAGTGTTTTCGGGAGCCACAGGTACGTTCGGGAGCAGGAGAAGGACTGATTCACCGATGCTGTGGTACGCCGAATCTCCCATCAGTTTAGCAGAAATGAAGGCATCRGAAATGAAGAAAGAACTAGAATCCTACGGAATATCAACAAAATCGATGTTTGACAGGAAGGATTTTGAAAAGGCTCTAGAGAAGGCAAGACATGATCAACCGGCAAAATCTGGGCAAGCAACAAGCGACAACAAAAAGCAATCGTCAAAAGCACCGTTTTCTACAACCGATGGTACAACGAGTTACGCAAAATCAAAGAAGGAGAACGGTGCAAAGACACAAGGAGAAAAATGGTCCAAGAAGTGGAAAAATTTGGATCCTAATGAAAAGGAAGCATGGAGTCCACATGCAGATAGTTCCTCTAGTAATCATTCCTCGAATGCACCCAAAGATGAATYATCGGAGCCATCAGCCTCGCCATCGACTTCAGCATCGACATCAACATCGACATCAACGTCGACTGGAGAGGACGGTGGAAGCACCCGCGAAGAACAATACGAAGCTGCCCTSGAAGAGGGAAAAASTATGACACTTTCTAATTTGAAAAAAGARCTGAAAGAGAGAGGGATTTCTACGAGTTCTTTCTTCGAGAAATCGGACCTGATCAAGGCTTATGCAAACGCAATAGCAGACGGCGTTGGAGTAAAGACATCTACCAACAACGACAGCGAGGAGAGTTATGATCCATCCTACCGAGATGTAACTACAGTCGTTTTTGATCCAACGAACCTTCTCACGGGAAGAGAAATGATCATTGACATCACCGATAGCATGAATTGAGCGAAGCAAGTAAATGATGCATAGTTGATTTTGCATAGTACACATTCGAAGAAGGTCGCGAATCAGATCCAACAGCAAGAACAGTTTCATGATAAACAAATGCAATRACACTTTTTCAAGACCTTTTTTGTCCACGTACTTTCTCTTGTTTGGAAGGTTTCCGCTTGCTCCCTGTTGCACCTGTTTTTCTTGTCGACATCTATGGGATGTGCGACTTGCAACAAGCCCGTAACTCGTTCTGTTCCTTGCCTGACGATAGTTACAGTAAGACAGGAGTACTTCTAGTACCTTCCGARATGCCTGCCACTTTTTGTGAATTTAACCGGACTATCGATTAGTCTGTACGTCGTCAGTTGGAACAATTCAACGCGGTATTCACTCATTCATGTGAGGATAAATCACGAGTAGTCAGTGAATGAGCCTCCCACTCGATCTTAGTGAGCAGCAATGAACTCACTCTTTATTGTAAACACGTAGTTATTCAACTGTAAAGAGTATATGTACATTTCGCAGGTTATGAGCAACAAAGAACACATACCTCATCTCATCAACCTGATCATCACCAAATGAAGAAACAGTAACAGCCCCACCACAAGAGGGGGGACAAGCGAAGGCAACATCCTTCGACATCAGGGACAACGAATACCGAATTCCCCGGACCACAATATTCCGGACACAGTATTCAGCCACGTACATCCTACGACAAAAACTCCCAAACCGAACCCCTTGACACCATAAATGTCAACGAAGCCGACAGATGAAATGAACAGCTGCAACGAAATGAACAGCTGCAACAGCTACCTCCACCTCCTCCACTAATATCATGCAACAGATCATGATCGCAAGACAACACGGCCAAATTAATCAACACCATCATAACCCAGATTAATCACCATGCCAAAACCACACAAGCAACCTAAACAACGCGGTAACAATCCACGCCGCCGCAACAGCGGCAACACTACTCCTATCCGCAAATTTTTGGTTCGATCCCCACGAACTACAGCGGAGCCACTGAAACAGCGACTCAAACTTCAATACTATCATGGATCGATTCAACGGGAAATACGGGTCCTAGAACTCATCTTCCCTAAAGACTCCACACCAACCGTATATGATACGAACCTATTCCCCTTCAAACCACGAAAGCCTCCAACCCCGATCAAATACCAATCACATCTCCTAGTCCTACACTCCACCACAATGAAATATACTGACAAACTAGCAGCTCTGGGTGATAACCTCAAGGACCTCATTCACCATAATCACTTCCGCATTCCCCCGGAAGAGGACACACCTACCTCCTTCTTACGATACCAGTACAGTTAAGCTTTCATTACATACATGGACACTGTTCTCCCCAAAGATCAATCCACACCACCGGAGACTATCACATCCAAACGACAGTCCAGACCCCCACCACGTCTAGCAACATCCCCAACTTCATCAGAATCTAGCCCACCCATCGACAATGACACCATCCAGGACAATGAATCTATTGACTCGATTGATATCATTGCACCCACAGATCTTCAGGAACGCTTTGCCCACGAACGTCAACATGATATCGCTCCTAGTACACCACAACAACATGGCGATGATATGTCAGCACGGATTGATGAATATGAACAGGAATACAAAACAATAGACAATGAACTCCAATCCATTAAAGACAGCTTCGACACAAACACCACAACCAATAAAACACACACATCACCATCCACCATTACGGATATACTGGAAGCGAATGATGCCAAATGGTCACAAAGACTAGCACGGCTAGACTATCAAGTGAATACTATCCAAAACGAATTAGAGACAACCATAAAAACCACCACAGATGAGCTGAACAATACCAAAGAGGCTCTACAACAGGCCAGGGAAACAGTACTCTCTCTCCAGCAACAATTACAAACACAAACCACTTCATTGAACAGAGCCATGGCGATGAACTCAGCCCTCCAAACCGACATAACGGAAGCGGCAAATACGGCATGGGCATTGGACAAACGTACCGACAAAGCATCCACAGTAATCTCCAATCTCAAACACCAGACAATTCAACTTCAGAACCTCTATGATGAAGCAAGCAGCATGACATCTCGCACCCCCACAATCCGTACGAATGAACTAACCGAACAACTCAACACTATTGTCGCCCAAAGCAAAACCAATTTAATTAAGATGGGACAAGATATCGAAGCACAAGTGGCACAGACAGTGGAAGAGAAGACACATATCATGGAAACAACAATCCAGAACATGATCAATGAAAAACTTGAACATAAGAATCACATAGTACAAACTCTTAAAGATACGGTCATTGCTCAGGCTAAACGCGAGATAAGCGACCAAGCCTCCGAGACAATACAACAAGTACACCAAGACCTCACAACCTCAAGGATAACATTGAAACAACTGTGTGATACTCACCATGACCAACTTACATCACACAAACAGGATATAACTGAAATCCTAACCACTACCGCAACATCCGCACAAGAAGATATTGCTATATCTAAAACCATTGCGGAAACCGATATTGAGCGAACGGTTCATCAACACATCACCACAGCACCCACAGTCACCAGTGCCATCAACCAACAAATCAACCAGAAACTAAACACCTTTGTTAACTCAGACACGTTTCGCAAAGACATCGATAATAACATCCACAAGTATATATCAACATCAAACAACTTCAAAGAACTGGTTGAGCAACACATCAGTGGATCCGCACCACCCAAGAGTAACAACAACAAACAACGACCTGTTGTTCCCCCACCACAACACCCTCAAGTACCCACCAATTCCCCGAGTAATAGCAATTCCAAAGACGGCACCTCTCCCACGATGAACCAAGACACCAATAACAACACACAAAACATGTGTGACAGTGACGTTAACTTCATCAAATATACAACCCACAAACACAATGCATTAGATACGGAACAACGCCTACTCAACGAGGAGATTCTTCACAACCAAAATCATAGAATAAGCAAGGCCATCCATGCCATGGAATATAAAGACTTTGATCATAATATCATTCCATCGACAAATCGATACCTTACCTCAACAGAGTTCACTACACTGTATAATGAATTACAGAACATGATGCGCCTGGAAAGCCTCCCCATTGTTCCCCTCGCAGACCTTCCCCAGCATGAAACATGCCTACCACCAAAACACAAAGAAACGGAAGAAAATATACAAAAGATAGGGACATATATATATCGTCGTCTCTCGCGGCTCATCCCCAAAGACAATAGTCTTCTACGAGGCCTCATCGCCCCATATAACCTTACCAGTGATGGTTATGAAGCCCTTTATGCATTGGCAAGACACTCACTTGAATACCTGAGACCCACACAAAATGGTTGGGGACCAGAATGGACTCCAACAGACGACCCAGGGACATATGTTGGAAAACTTCAGAACTTTGTACGAAACAGCATGCTTGGTCACAAACATTACTATACAGAACTCGAACAAAGCCACGAACTGGTATACCAAACCATGCGACATTATAATTACTCAGCAGGCTGCTGCCTCCTCGCACAACTGTATAACCATCGCCGAATTACGAAAGATGCTAAACACAAACCAGTACCCCATCACCTCAAACTTACATCAATGATCAATTTCATCATCGAAAACCCCAACGTTGAGCGTGCTGAACAACCTCAACGCCTCGTTGTGAACAAAACAAATAGTGGAACGGGTTCCCAACGCAAACGCTTCGAATACAAGAACAAGGTACAATGCAAATGCTGTCACACCTTTGGACATAATGTGGGCGACCAGATCTGTAGATTTGGAGCACAACTGCACTTTGCGCAGAAATATGCAGTTGATAACCCCGACGACTTCCGCTCAAACGCAGTCAAACATAATAACATGAACACACAAAAGGTTGTAAACCATTTTGAAAGCAAGCTTAATGGCCGATTGCTCACCCAGATAGAACATGAATCAGAACGTGAAGAATGGGCTCAAACGTTCTCAAACAATCTAACGGAATAGGACACAAGCCGTGTCTCTAGCGAGGCTCGGCAACACACACCACAAGCCCAAACAAACACCAGGAAACTGAACAAACGCGGCTATCCCACTCCTAGGACGACACCACATGACAACGATATATTCAGATACAATAACACAACATAGAACAAATCAATCAGACAAACACCATGGTCACCGATACTCATCCCTCTCCAGCAGGCAATAAGAGCCAGTACAATGGACTGTAATCACCACAACACGCTCCCAGACCCACCAAGTATACTACATTCTACGCAAATCCCACGTACCCCCACAGAGGAACAACGAAAAACCGCAACAGCGAATTCACCAAACGCGTACATCTCGCGTGAACCCAGTACTATGAGGGACTCAACCCAGATCAAACCACCTGGGACACAGGACCAATCCCGCCAAAAACAATTGCCCGGTACAACCCAAACTACTGTAGCATCCACACTACACGCCACGATAAATAGGGCCCACTGTAACCAATGCCTAGAATATACAGTAACGAATGACACAGATACACCTCACCACGGTCCAACGGACGGCAATGACTTAACACCTTTTACATACTACAATGAATCACTAGCTATGGAGCACGATACATATAGCCCAGCAATACGGATGATACCATCAACGAAACGTAAACATATAGGGCACCACATACAAATCGCAAGTACTGATTCTAAATACCTCCTTAAAATGGAACGACTCCCACTGGACAAAGACCCACCAATGCAGACCCATACTAAACCCAACATCATCCAAACGGACACGGGCGCAAACATGTCTGCCACGAATCAACTGGACATGCTCCACAACTACACATCATTTCCTAAGCCTGAACCAGTAAGCGTATTCTCTGATGACACAACACATGAAACCACACTATACGCCCACGGTGCAGGCTACATGAAACTAGTATCAGACTAAGGAACTGTTATGAGCTGGTACACATTGTACACACCACAATCCACGGGAACAATCATTTCCCCTGATCACTACCAGCAATCACGTAAATTCTACGCATTTGTGCAAGAAGGTTGCATCAACAGCAAGGGAACGCTAAAGTTCACTAATAAACTCAACCAAACTGTTGAATCAATCCGTACTACACGCAATGAAGATGGCCTGTGGTTCAACTCAAACCAAGTCCTCCTCCCCAACAATAAGGAGAATGAGGACATTGAAGACGAATTTCTACGCTACAAAGCCGCGTCGCAACACTTGACCAGTGCAACACCACATTGTATCACCAAGACATGGTCCTTGGGCCTTTCTAAAGCACTCAAAAATCTAGAATTATGGCACCAACGCTATGGACATGTATCCCCCTCAACATTAGTTAAAACACAGAAAGTGGTGGATGGAATACCGCCCATACCGACAGCGGTACCATACTTCCGATGCCCCTTCTGTGAAAAGAGCAAAATGACCAAATACGGAGGTAAGAAGAACACTAACCCCAAAGAAAAATTCATTCCCATGCAAGCACTACACATGGACCTCTCGTTCGTCAGTGGACCCCAGAACCTAGAACAAGTCCTTCATCACAATATGAAACCTGAACGTACCCTTAAACGCAGCCGACAAGGACACATTGGATTCCTTACCATCATCGATGCTGCCACAAGAGCCCTATGGACATTTCCAATCAAGTCAAAAGAACCACCACTCGATATCGTGGATAAATTCCTCACCAAACATGGTATACAACAGAGTAACCCCAGGAAAGCCATTATCACTACAACCGACGATGGATATCTCGCACGCTCACGTGCCTTCCACCAAACTGCAAAAAGTCACTCCTATGCTCTTACACCAGAAGACCGACAATACTTGCTGGACCTCTTTCCCCCACACCTGGACTGTACTATCATGACTGATGGGGGAGGTGAACTTGTTAACTCTACAAAATTCAGATCTACAGCCACTAAACACGGCTACGATACACTCCATACAGCAGCAGATGCCTCCTCCCAAAATGGACTGGCAGAAAGACCTCACAGGACACTCAAAGAACGGATCAGATGCCTCCTCTACTCTGCCGGCCTAGGCACCGAATATTGGACAGATGCTCTGCTTCATGCCACATGGCTCTATAACAGAACTTATCACAGTGCTATCCACATGACACCATACCAACTATTCACTGGAAGAGTTCCCCTCGTTGACAATCTCATCACCTTTGGCTCTAAAATTACAGCCAAACGACCAGGAACTAGACCAACAACAACACACCCATGGACATACGATGGCATCTTCCTTGGATATGGAGCAACAACAGACAATATTAGATACTTTGACATACATACTGGCACCGACAAAACAGCAAGACATGATTCCAAAGACGAGCTTCATTATGGTGAGGACCCTACCAATCGATCCCCAGCAGCATCCCACCTCCTGGAAACATTCACTGAAGGTAACCAATGCGACCATAGCACAAACACTGAACCACCACATGTAAAACTGGACCTCAAGGACAACAAACAATGTAACCCAGACAATATCGTTGAGGAGATCATCAGAGACTCCCCGCACTCATATACTGCTGCGGCGGCAGCAACACTCAAAACACATCTACACAAAGCTCGCTTCAATCGACCAGATATCTCCACGCTGATCCCGGAACTGGACACTCTAGATATATCCACCAATATATACTTCAAAGAGACATCTCACACACTTCCCCTACGAAATATACACACCATCCATCCAACTATGGGCTTCATTGTGGGGAGCCACCCAGATATAAGCAATGCTGTTGAATTAGTATCAATCCAGGTTGGTACAATTGCTCACACACGAATAAGGGGATGGAAACGCCGCCTACGAGGCACTATAATCACTAAGGTTAATGACACCCCCATCCGCAATCGCCAAGATATCATCGACACGATTCAACGCGCCAAAGACACTCACCAGGACAATGTGAAGTTCACGTTTGGCTCTATCACTGGCTTTGCACTCAGCGGTGAAGGTGTCCCAACCCTACAGGCTGATCAACTCAACGTGATTGCACATCACCTTCATTCTATCCGTACACAACAAGATCTCTGGCCCAATAAGAACGACTGGCCAGCCCCCATGGATTCCTCGGAATGTATGCAAGAAAGAATATCTATCAGCAAATTAACCAGAAGAAAACTTCAACAAACACCACAATGGGATAACTTTCTTCAATCCGAATGGAAACAACTCAATCGCTATCACAAAGTAGGTATGTTTGGCACACCTATAGACGCTACAGAAGATATGACCATCCTCCCATGGGTATGGACATATATTGAAAAAGAGAACCCCCTAACTGGAATACAGGAGCCAAAATCAAGGGGTACATGCAATGGAGGCAAAAGATATGGTAAAGCAGTCACACTCGCTGAAACCTATGCAGCCTGTGTCGAACAACCAATCCATAGACTAACTTGGGCATTGACAGCTGCTCTAAACCTTATCTGTGTAGGCTATGATGTGGGCAATGCCTTTGCAGAGGCTCCGGCTCCATGATCCCCCTTTTACATGACTGTAGATGAACCATTTCACCAATGGTGGACTGAATGTCTTCACAATGAACCAATCAAACCAGGGCAAGTCATCCCAATATGCAAAGCTCTTCAAGGACACCCCAAGGCACCGCAACTGTGGGATAAGTATATCGTCTATTCTCACGACTGAACTGGGTTTTAAAGCAACAATACATGAACCATGCTTGTATTATAGACATGATGATACTGGACTTACACTAATCCTCCGGCAAGTGGATGATTTTCTTATAGCAAATGCTACAACAACAGTATGTGACCAAGTCCAAGCTAAAATACAGGCTCGCATGACTAACCCATTGAATGTACTGGGAACAATACGTAAATTCAACGGGATACATGTTGATCAAACTCAACACTACAATCACTTACATTGTGCAGCATATATTGAAAAGATTGCATCTCACCATGGTTGGTCCCTCGAAAACAAGCAATATCATACACGGAAACGCCCAACTCCAATGAAAGAGGATCCGGCATATCAAAAACAAGTGCAGCTTGAAACAGGCCCCACAGATCCGTACGAAGCACTAAAACTACAGCAAAAGGAGGGCTTCAACTACTGACAAGCAATTGGAGAACTCATATACACATTAACCATATGCAGAATCGATATATCCATTGCTGTCATTACACTCAGTCAACATTCACACCAACCAGCTAAAATCCACTATGAAGCTGTAAAACACCTCTGTCATTATCTTTTAGCAACCAAACATGAAGGTCTCACGTACTGGCGTCCGGAACCAAGGCAAGACTTACCAGAAAAAGCTCTACCAACACCACTATCACCAACCTCAACACGATTCTATCAATCCATGAATCCTCTTCAAATACACGGATCATGCGATACAACATGGGCCTCAGACAGGCTCCAAAGACGATCGATGGGAGGAGTGATTATGATGCTGGCAGGAGCAGCAGTATACTATAGATCACATCTACAGCCCACAATAGCACAGAGCTCCACAGAAGCGGAATTCACCAATATGGCAGATGCTGGGAAAGCAGCATTATATCTTAGATGGATCCTAGAGGAACTCCGATTAGCACAAACAACACCAACACCAATCCTAGCTGACAACCATGGTGCTGTCCGTATGGCTAATGCTCACCAACCAACACGCCGTACACGACATGTTGAAATGAAACACTTTGTTATACTCCAATGGACTGATGATGAACATATCAACTTTATTAAAACCAAATCTGATGAGAACTACAGCGACTCGCTGAGCAAACCAACAGGAAGAACCAAATTCCTCGAACACACTGATGTATTCATGGGACGCATTAAACCAGACTACACATACTCGCACTTGTCAACCAATCTACGACATGATTTTAATGATGCTGACACCCAATTACAGCGTAATACTTGCCACAAAATCAATTGCTCCACTTGCAATCTGAATCCTCTATTTGACCTACTAAGATACAGTACACTTTCTACAGAGAATTCAGATTCTGCAAGTGCGGGCGGGTGTGAGGATAAATCACGAGTAGTCAGTGAATGAGCCTCCGACTCGATCTTAGTGAGCAGCAATGAACTCACTCTTTATTGTAAACACATAGTTATTCAACTGTAAAGCGTATATGTACATTTCGCAATTCATCGTTGTTACAAGATCAGAAAAATCCATCGGATCTTCCACCACATTAATTCTAGTACGATGATGGAACGCRCAATGGGGCATGATGTAACCGGCATCTCATACTAATAGCGCACTCAATGTATGCCATGATTTGTTATTTACTAGTAATCGATTATGAGTTAGCAGTCATTCTTCAAAACGATTCTCATTCCATTCCTTTTACGTCGATCGGCGGACAAGCGTAGAGACTACCGGTTCCGACTCGGCCAATTCAGCTTAGGGATCAATCGTSTTTTCGATCAATGGCATGGTTCGTCGACGATCACACGGAAAGCACCGCGGGCCAAAGAAAGGTGTGGTTATACTGTACCTGTYCGCATTCGTTGGAYGTATCAGATCACTTTCAAACACTGAAAGCTGTCGTCAGATTCCTAAAACGACGTCCTCGAGTATGGCTACCCCGAATAAGAGCTGCCCAAACAGAGGGGATGYATTGGACATGCTGCCAAATGGCAGAGAAGAAAATATAGACAAGTATGCATTCGTCCATTCATCAATACAAGAAGTTCTGACGATGAARCCTAGTACAAWCTCCGCAGACTTTTTTAATGTATCGGGAAGTCCGAAAACTGAAACAGAGAATCCGATTCTCGTCGATAATGAAAGATGCACARTCAAGTGGGAAACACTAGAAACTTATCTCAAGCACGAGGACACAGCGTCGAAAGCAAACAACACCCAAGAAACGCTTTCCATGGAGCAACTTGTTTTGATAGCTTCGCACTGTGAACATGCATTGATTAGAGAAAGTCAAGTGCTCAATTCTTTGCTCCCACCCCCGATTCTCGGGTTGTTGCAAATAATACCAAAAAAGCACAAGGAAAAACGCAAGAATGAGACAAAAGGAGAATATTACTTGATTGCTACACTACTTGCCTTAAATATGGTCGAGAATTCAATTAGACACCTATTACGGAAAGAGAATGGGAAGGCACCGCTGCTGAAAGATATGATAAACATCATGGCTAGAAGGAAAGGAAATGACGCTTTACCTGGATCACTTTTGCTCTTGTTGAGAACACTTTTACTTCCAAATGGCGGCATAAATCTGAGAAACTTGCTTTGGCATGGATTCTTGCCAACGATTCATCCAAGATGGTTTGCCTTGTCAGTTGTACTCACCTTGTCATTAGACGAACTGGCTGGTTCGTCGTCTTTTCAGGTTAATTCTTCGGGCAACACCGTGCAAACGATACTCGCTATGAGACAACACAAAGAACTCGTCACAATATTGGATGACGGTCGAACAATACTTTCAAATCGCGAGAAGATGGCTTCTTTCGAGAGAATRGCAATTCAGTCGAATATCATTCCGAAAAGTCATRTAGAATTGTTCAAGGTATCTTTGAAATTTGTGAATTCCCCCATCATTTTTGCATCAGTGGTTAGTCCCTTCATCGAACATGTAGTACGGCTCATGTGGTGTGAAGAAAATRAACAGAACAAATGTATTGCTGAGCCTGGCTCGTATTACGTTACACTGGACGGACATGGACAAAGAAACAAACACGAGGTTGTGATCATGCCATTCTACWTTAATCCAGAAGAGGTTGATTCAAGAGGGGCAGAGAATAAATTAGTTTATCGATTGGGTGGTTCCCGTATGGCMTTTTTAATGGACATGTTCGCGGCTCCTTCTACTGCACCTAATATAAGAGCATCGGTAGCTCATGGCTCTTTCAATAAGTATCTGCTCGAGGAGTTAGCTTCCATCGAGGAGAAAAAGGATCACATGAGAAGAARTGTCGACGAGCTCAGCGATATAACAAAYGCACTTATATCGATTTTGAATACTTTGTGCGATGACAATTCATACGCCGTCAACTCCTATCGACCGATTTTCTCTTATTCGGCAACACTGCTTGCAGAGCTTGATACYATGGTAATTGAGATGAAAGAATTCTACAAATTTGTCAGTGATGGTCATTATCTGAAGTATTCCAGTGCTATATCTCAGAGTGAAATGCAAGAGAAAATAACGCATGACATAGCGAACATGGCTCCAGAATTCGGAAAAATCCTTGGTATGCAAGAAAGAATACGCAAAGGCTTCTTTGCAAAGAACTCAAAATTTACTGACGAGGATTTTTTCCATGAACATAACAATAATTTGATCGCATCCGAATGCGGCGCAACGAAGCTGCTTTTGTCTGAAATTTCTCAGGCTGCCTCTTCGTCACTTCARAATCTCAACGATGGGATTTCGGTTCTTCAAGATGGCAARATCCAATTGTCATCGAGACGACGAAAACAAGTTTATCGCATTTGTGCATCGGCAAAGCTAACTTTCGATTTTTATTCATTCGCAGCGTATTGTGCCCTTCTCCATGTARAGCGTCGACAAGATAATGTCAAGGAATCACAACATACACTGATAGGACGAACGTTTRCAGACGATGAATTATTTAYAGCTGTAAAACGGTCGAGAATGACAATATCTACTTTCACCACGACAAAATCATTTGATAGAGCTTTGAGTGCTCTCGCACAGTACACTGCTGGAAAAGCGGTCAAAGCAATAYGCAAGAGTGTTCAAGAACCTTCGATTGAAAGATCTGAATGCATTCAATGATAATGACAGCCTGTATGACGATGAAGAAAATCGGTGCTCAGTTTTCAAGGTATGTTCTTTGGACAAGCCAAGGAATCAGACCCTCGAGAATTTCAGTACAAGCAAATTGATAGATTATCACATTCTTGTGAGCCAAAATCATCAATTTTCTTTGGTCTTGCCTTCGTCTTCTTCTTGGATTGCACCGTATATTGTACCTCTTTCACCAAGATGCAAGGGCTCCTGAAGTTTCAGACCCTTCTCAATTCCTTCGTGAAAAACYTTTCTCAGTTTTTGACCGTACATCTTGGTCACGTAATATGTGTAACGGTCTGCACCTCGTTTGGCGCAAATKATGATTGCCAAACACAACATTGTCCCATGCACCACTTTGCCGCCCCGGTAGCACATGATATCACCRAGCACAATGATCCCAAATCCACAAGAACCGAAGGCGTGCATCACCATGTAGAATAGAAAATCACGAATTTCGTAGTCGTTTCGTTCCGAACAATCACGGCTGCGTTTCTTTGATCGTTTCCACAACATTGAACCTACGATTTCACAGAGAGCACCTTTCCAGGTKGAGTGAAAGACTGTGTCATAAACAGGCGGTGGCTTTTTCTCATCTTTTGAAACAGCAGGTAACTTCAATCCGGTTCGCAACATCCAAACGGTGTAGGGAAYGAACCATGCAAAATAGATAATTAAAGTCATTCGCGACACACCAACCCCAYCTTTGTCACGATTGATCTGCTCCGTGAATTCTACCAAATGAGGGAAAATAGTAGGATACGCAGCGTATATATCGGCAGCATGCCATCGCTGATTGTACATTRCCATTGATGGCATCAAATGAATTATCAAGTTAGCCATAGCTGAAATCAAGAAAATTCGAAARTTCACATCAGAACACCATTAAAACCAAGCAGTTCAAAAAAAGAGTTGGATGGAAGTTAGTTATTGCTTGCTGTTGAGTTTTAAAAAAAACACAGAGAGAAACTTTTGAGCACGAGAAGGAAGATATTCGTCTTACTGTTAACGTCGTGGAACAAAAAAGCCACAAATGGCAACACCATTGCAGCCAAGAAAACTGGGCCACAGAATATGCCGAAGCATGCCAAAAAGATATTTTTTCGCAGCTCGATTGAAATGAGATCTGTTGACAAGTAGCCGTCRAAAATYAAGGCAGAAATCACGAGTACTGCACCCAAGGTGTTCATTACCCAGCAGAAGTCCAAATAGTACAATACTTCACACAAGGGCTGTGCATAGTACATCCCCTTTAGTTTGTAAGACATCCAAAAAATAGTTTCGACTGCGTAGAGGATCCAAAAATGTTCAGGATGGCTACCATGAACATAGGCGATAAACAAGCAATTTACCAAACCAAAAGTAAAGTTCCACTCGTTAAGCCCCTTATCTTTGCGAGCCGCGTCTTGAATCTGATCAACTCTATCCAAAACCTGTATGAACGATTCTTTTTGCCCATGCTGGAACGCATCGATTTTTGATTGTCGACGGTAAGGGTAGCTTCTTTCATTAYTATGAGGAGAAGTCGCCTTCTCTTGAGTTTCTCTGTTATCCTTSTTTTCTTTGTCATTTTTTGTGCTTTGGGATAATAGTGGATAAAGTTCTTTCTCGTTCACTTCTTTGTCTTCGTCGCYGTCATCGCTATCGTCATCACAGGTGCTAGTCACGAACCCAAGTTCAGTCAGCGTTGCGTTGACCATTTCAAATTCTTTGCGCTGATGAATTTGATCTTTAAAGACAAACTCATCTTCATCACTGTTTGTAGTCTCGCCGATGCTCTCCCCGATAGAAATAGCGTCTCGCAAGGATGCCAGAAATGAAGACCGTCCCATATTCCTTTTTGACGGAGCGACTGCTGAGCATCCATCGTCGTCGCCTGAAGTTTTCTGTAGCTTTTGTTCCAACTCCATTTTTCGTCCAGATTTTTCCGTTCAGTGCTTTGGTTGGTTGGCARTTGTCGGTGTGGGTCGATACCATTGAACACGGYATTCRTATATTAGGTGTCCAGAATAATCTAGAACAATGATGACCTTGAGATTTGTTATCTTCTGTTCCMTCCTYTTTACCTGGTTCTTGAAAAAGATACTAGACTACCGGTACAAATATACGTAACTACGAAGTAAGATATTAGAAGATGATCTTTTRCTGTATTTTTTCGTSCTCGTATCCGAACCGGTGGAAGCCGCGAGAAATTTCCGTKYAGTCGGAAATCCTCKAGTTGTACAAGTAYTACTATTACAGTACTACCGTAGAGCAACAAAAATTTTAATTCAAGCATGCGCAGCRTAAGTCGTACTCTCCCTGTCCATTTCCCCTCCCCACTCCACACGCCMATTCCCTCGTACTTCGTATTTTATTTGYCCTGATTTTCATTTGAAAAGTGATTGGTGATTAGCTCCATTTYCATTCAGTGTGATACTGYACGGGTTCAAAAATGAGCTGTTCTAGCAGCACAGCAAACAAAATRATACAAACTTCCTRGGCAATGTTTCAAAATGAATCTTCAAATTTTATCCGAGAAAGAAAAATCATTTTTTTCAGTCTTTATTTTCACCTCAGCACGAATCGCTCTTTGGTTCATATCAATTTCTTTAGAATCTTCGATTCCTTGGTAGTAGGATTGCTTGTCAAAATCGATTGCTTTTCTTTTTGGTGCAGATKTGAGTTTTATGTCATGCTCTTTGAGAACCTCTTCTGCGATTTTCTTTTTGTGGCAAACCAGTACAATCGCAGCCTGTGCCTCCYGTTCTAATTCTTCAACCCGACTTTGCAAATTTGCTCCACTAATCTTTCTATTATCATTTGTCTTAGTGGATGTCACATTGTTCRGTGAAATTGTTTGTGGCGAATCGCTTTTGCTCTCATTCTCTGGCTTCGCAAGAGAAAGTCCACCAGTSCCATTGTCATTGCAGTCATCTTCATCTTCGCTTTCTTCATATGCTTCTCCCTTCGATTCGGCTAACCGAGCACGTTCTAACTTTCGTTCTCGTTGCATCTTCTCCATTCTAACGTTCTTCTCGACATCTTTTGAGATGCCCTCCACAATTCCCAGGGCATAACTCAGTCGTGAGCTTTTGGTACTAATGGTTCTATGGTRGTATGTTGATGTTTCTGGCTGATACTCGGCACTCATCTGTGATATGCGCTCGGTTGCAACTTTGAATGCGTAGCCTGCAAGTTGCGCATTTGAGTAGATCCCATAAAACACGATGTCACAACGGACACCGCGRCGGGTTTCAAAATAGCACTGCACCCCAAAGTTCTCACACACGGGACRAGTTAGCCGAGCAATCCATCTGAAAAACAGAGATGGTTTGCGAGTTTTTCGGTTGACAATTTTAACCCGGACCATACCCCCTTTTAAAACTTCGTCGCCTTGTAGGTTTTTTTCATTTGCTGCTTCCCGCTCTTTTAACAGTAGGGCTTGGGACAAATTGTGTTTTCGCATCAGTCTCTGTGCGAGTTTCATGGCGTTCTTTGCCTCGTGTTCATTGGACTGGTCGTGAAAACCAGTGTTCAACAATTTCATAATTCGATTCTTTACTTCTTGTTCTGCTTTCTTCTTCCCTGCCCCATCCACCAGCAAMGATRCTTCCCTGAATCTTTCCCCATYGTCATCGTTCGATGAATGATTTTGTGATTTWTCGTCGCACTTTCCTGGGGCTGAAGGAATATCTTTTTTATGCACAAWCACTTCAAGAGGAGGTTCAGAAGGTKGGCTTTGAACATGYTTTTGCCTTTTGCTCGGCCGATCATCAAGATCTTCTTCTTCATCAGATCCGTCGTACTCGCCATCCCACGATTCRTCATCAGACCTATAGTCATCCTCATCTTCGTCCGAACTGATGGAAATCACGTCGATATYGTCAGTGCTCTCTTCCTTTACGGAGTTGCTTTCATTCAACCCGGGGACAGAAGCTTCKTTGTCTTGACTACTTTTGGTGKCTGGTTTCGAGTCACCATGGTGATCTATATCGTCACCCGAGGATTCCACCTTCAATTCTTTGGTTGCATTTCCTTCCTCTTCGTCATGTATTCTTACCAAATCAAGTTCGTCCCCATGATCGATTTCGCTTGTATCTTCTATAATCCAACCTCCCATCTCCAATCCAAATGATTGTCTCGGATCAGACGGGTCATTTTTATCTTGACATRSAACGCCCAACTTGTGAATTATTTTCCGCAACAGCGTTGGAAAGTCAATCGATTTGTCGAACCTAAGAACCTTCCGTACCCCTTTGGCTTTAAAACGAATTTTCACTCGAATCATGGTGTTTCACTASTGTAGTGCAGGTGATGCACTGATTTCCTGTTTGTGATTTTATCTAATAATATGGATAATATAGATTCGCATAGCATACAGAGAACAGGTACAGTATCAGGATCAAAATCTCATGAATGCTCGAGCCCTACCGTTAATTTTATTCGACGATACAAGCTGTCAACAAAATGAGCCGTCGGTCAACATCTATTCGCTAGGTTCAACTGAATTGTACTGGTACAAGTTAGCTGCAGTCCATAAGTGTGCTTCAGCGTTGTGAGACTGAATACATATGGGACTAAAAATTGCAAGACTGAATGCAAATGGGACTAAATATTAAGGCAAGACTGAATGTTAAAATGAATTCTTAGACCTGCTTCTAGGAAGAGGGGTTGTACTAGTAGCTAGTATTACTGTTGGAAGACAACCTCCATGTAGGACTAAATATTTAGAAGTAGGCAAGACCAAATTTTAGAGTATCAAGGAATCGTGCAATCTGGAGCTGTTTAGGTACATGTCCCATCCCAACCATTCTTTGCACCCTTTGAGAACAAGAAGAAGAAACAAGGCAATAAGGAGAGTAGCAAGACCAGCAGGCACTCCAACCTTGTTCTACAATGGTGCTAAAGAAGCAAGAAGAATCAATTTCCAACATGGGCTGTTCTAGGAAGAAGGAAGTATCTTGCTGTTCAAGCAACATCTGCTCGTCCTTCAGAAAGGACAGTTAGTACTAGTAGTTGGGCACAGAGGATCACCATCATTAGTGAACTATGCACTACAAGTAAGCTTGATCCCAATATTGCAGGAGGAAGGACTTTGTCTTATGATGATGTACTAGCTGAAAATTTGGGTTGGCATGAGAATTAAATGGGCACACCATCAATGAATAATAAGTGAATAGCATAGGACTTCTAGTACTATTGAGTAATTATATTAATTAATATTATTACATTTTCTCATTATGCAGTGGAGGATGAAAAAATGTGTTGTGAACTGTTGTAATACAACATTTTTCAAATACTGTTGCATTGCACACCCCTATTTACATACTACAATGCAAAAACTAAGTGAATGCAGTGGTGGAAAAATTAGAACAAATTTAGAAGCAAATAAACAAAACAACTGTTCCTGTTTGTTGTTTCTTAAGAAATAGGAATGGAGTTCATTGATTTTGTTGTCTAGCTATGGTGATCATTGCTGGTAGTGTTGTTTTTTGTGAAGAGAAGGGGCATTCATACAAACAGGCTACCAGTGGAATTTTGTGGTGTCCTAAGAGTACTAGTAGTAAGAACTCTTGAAAACACAACAATCAACTTGTTTCTTGTGTAAGACTAGCCTGAAACCAACCCATTTTCCAAATACCTTCCCTGCAATTTGTGAACAGTTCTTCACATATCAGCAATATTAATTGGGAATTGAGTTAAGTGTAGTCCAGTGTCACTTGTTTGAGTTTGATGAACAATTTTATTCATATTCTTGGAGGATATAAAAAATTAGCATTTGTTGCTAGTACAGTTGTGCAGTCTTTTGAGAAGTCAAAGTGATCACTCTGTTTGAACTCTTTTTTACTAGTCTGCTCATCTATTCAACCTTCTCAGCATCAACTCCTCATTGAACAACAAAATATATGTCAATGGTAATGACTTCACACTCCCAGTTCCCATTTTTTAGTTTGACAGAAGAATTGAATAAAAAACTTTACACATGACTCCATTAAAAAATCAACAAGAGGGAATTTCCTCCCACAAGTTTGAGTTGATTGAAAACAAATACCAAAAAAATCTTCACAATATATTTAACCTAGTGGACTAGAAGAGGCACATTATGATGGCTTGAATGCTCCTAGCTGCTCCAAGGGACAGCGCCTCCCTCCAACAAGTGGTTGTGGAGGCGCAACTGATTAGAGGTAAATTATTATTGAAATTGTATGATTTCATGTCAGTTGGAATACTCATTTAATGTTTCAAATTACTGCCTTTCTTCAATCTATTGATGTTGACATCAGTATGTTTTGGTGCAAGCATCTGCTGCTGCTCACTGGTAAAATTTCCCACTAATACCACTTGAACAGACATTGTTTGATTACTTTGTGAAAGATTTTTCTCAGATTGGTCACCATGCAAATCAACAAAATTGTTTCTGTAGGGGAAAGAATAGTATGTTTCTACCAGTCCATTACTTTCTGGCTTGTTTAACATCACTGTGAAAGAGAGTATAAATAATCTGGATGTTGGGAATGTGTTGTTCTGGAAAAACATAATAAAGACCTTCATGGCCACCAGCTTTCCCAGAAAGAAGCACTGCAACAAAGGTGACTGACAACAAAAGTCCAGAATTTCTTGTTTGTTTGTCCTGTAACCACAGACTTGTCCCTCACATGCTCACTTATTCCTGCCCAATGACCCTGAAACCTTTTTGTCTCAAGCTACTCAAAGTACTTTGCCGTTGTACTGCCACCACCACCAAGTGTACAAGAAAGAATTTTTTGCAAGTATCTGCACTGCCTTAGTCACATCTGTCACCAACACACATCCTATTACCCAGTATTTTCCATCCTTACCTCACAATAAACAACCACTGGAGAGTGTTACACAAGACTGGCTGGTCTTTAGCACATACTNCTTTGGCTTTAAAACGAATTTTCACTCGAATCATGGTGTTTCACTAGTGTAGTGCAGGTGATGCACTGATTTCCTGTTTGTGATTTTATCTAATAGTATGGATAATATAGATTCGCGTAGATACAGAGAACAGATACAGTATCAGGATCAAAATCTCATGAATGCTCGAGCCCTACCGTTACTTGTATTCGACGATACAAGCTGTCAACAAAATGAGCCGTCGATCAACATTCAACATCTATTCGCTGGGCCCTCCGGAACCAACACGCGCGGGTCCCCCCTTTAAATCTAATATCGGGGGTATGATTTCGTGGGTTATTTTTCACAAAAAATAACCCATGTTTTAAAACGTGGGTTCCTGGGTTCCTGGGTTAACCCACAAATAACCCACAAATTAACCCATGAATAACCCACAAAAAATCCACAAACCTGCTGGGCCTTTTTCCAAAAATTAAAAACAGTGATTCAATAACGTTAATGACTCAAATACTTAACATCCTTCTTGGTTCTCCATCAACCCAGATGACTGCAAATTCGTGGGTTATTCGTGGGTTCTTTCGTGGGTTCCTGGGTTCTTTTGTGGGTTATTTTTCAAATAAAAAAACACGTTTTAGAAATGTGGGTTATTCTTCCCATGAAATAACCCATGATTCTAAAACGTGGGTTATTTTTCACCAAAAATAACCCACATTTTTCTAGGGGAGGAATTTGAAAATGGGGATGTGTGCGTGGGTACCAGAGGGCCCTGGGTTCAACTGATTGTACAAGTTAGCTGCAGTCCAAAAGTGTGCTTCAGCTTTGTGAGACTGAATGCATATGGGACTAAAAATTACAAGACTGAATGCATATGGGACTAAATATTTAGGCAAGACTGAACGTTAAAATGAATTCTTAGACCTGCTTCTAGTAGGAAGAGGGGTTGTACTAGTAGCTAGTATTACTGTTGGAAGACAACCTCCATGTAGGACTAAATATTTAGTAGTAGGCAAGACCAAATTTAAGAGTATCAAGGAATCGTGCAATCTGGAGCTGTTTAGGTACATGTCCCATCCCAACAATTCTTTGTACCCTTTGAGAACAAGAAGAAACAAGGCAATAAGGAGAGTAGCAAGACCAGCAGGCACTCCAACCTTGTTCTACAATGGTGCTAAAGAAGCAAGAAGAATCAATTTTCGAGATGGGCTGTTCTACTAGGAAGGAAGTATCTTGCTGTTCAAGTAACATCTGCACGTCGTTCAGAAAGGACATTTAGTACTAGTTGGGCACATAGGATCACCATCATTAGTGAACTATGCACTACTAGTAGTAAGCTTGATCCCAATATTGCAGGAGGAAGGACTTTGTCTTATGATGATGTACTAGCTGAAAATTTGTGTTGGCATGAGAATTAAATGGGCAC